ACAGTTGCTCTATCAGAAGTGTTGTCACCTCCCTATCTTTTCTACAAATACTTTCACAGTAACTGCTCTAACGAGGCACTTTTGCCGGTTCCCAAACTGCATGAATTTAAACGTGCCACTAGGTCGGCATCTTAGTCCCACCTTTTCACTGCCAAAACGGTTAAATGTAGTCGTCTCTTCTACTCCAATAGCTTCATGTCTCACACTTCCCATCTGTGGAACTTCCTTGCTCTTACTTGATTCCCTGATAGCTATAATCTCCAAATATTCAAATGCAATATCAATCAATATATCCAGATGCTTTGATCTAATTCCTCGTCCTTCTCTTCATTCTTTCCTCTATCATGCCTCTTTACATTTGCTCCCACTTTCTGTAACCCCTTGTGTGCTAGTGGCACTTCTACCTTGCTTGGAGTGAATTGCTTAAAAAAAAAAAAAAAAAAATCCCTCCCTCATATTCAGATTGTAACTTTGAAATATGTCAGGGACTATCATATTTTTTTAATAAAATTGTATAATTCAATAAACAGCTTCATTTTTCAATTAAATAGATTACAAAAATTAAAAAAACAAAATTAAGGTAGGTTTTCTTTCACTGTGTAACCTGCCATAATTAGATAATTTAGATAAAAGAAACAAAAAAGAAAACCCTTTTTAGCATCCATACTATTATTCTAGGTGGTGTAATGGTTAGCATGCTTGACTCGCTAGAACAATTACTATGGTGTAACGAGTTCAATCCTCACTGGGTGCCCCCTACTTTTGGCCTTGTCACGCTTGGAAAAATCACTATTATTCTAGTCTAAAATCCAGTGACTTAAAAAAAAAAAAAATTTCAAAAATTGGTTAATTCCAGTATTTATAGATTATTAAAACTTACTTTTTAAATATTTTTTAAATTTCTATAAAATCATTTAAAACCATTCTAAAACATTTGATAACAATATTTTTTTTTATAAAAAACTGTACCTTTAAAATATATTATAATAAATAAACTAAAAAGTTGCTAAAGAAAGCAATACTTTTGTTTAAATTGAAGTTTTAAACTTTTGGATTTAATGCACTTGATAAACCCACCAATGGATTAATTTTAGGAAAAAAAGAATTAGAATTAATTTTCTAGGAATTTAACTTTTTGAGAATATAAACACCTTTCAGACAATATTTGAGATGTCATAAAATTAAATAAGAAGAAATTACTTTAGTAAAAAATGATTTTCACTAATTACTTTTAAAAAGTAATCTTTTCATAATTTAGCAATCAATGAATAAATACTGAAATTTTCATTAAATTTATCAATTAGTTAAATTTTGGTAAAAGTTTTACAAAGTAGGCATTTTAGCACAGGAATTTTCTGAAGATCTAACTGGTAAAGTAATTTTCTCAAAGCCAATATTTCTGCAGAAAGATACAAAGTTAAAAAACGATTTTATGGCATTCGTTTCTTTTTAATGAACATTTTTTTATTGCAATTTGCAAATCTGTAAATAAATCAAATGTTTTGACATCTTTGTTATTGATGAACCAAAGCCATGGACCAGAATTTTGAAGGATGAATGGACAAGGAGAATTGTGGGCAAGTATTATGATGCATTGTTTGTGAAAAGCAAACTATTCTTGCCAAATAAATGCTTTCAAAACAAAGAAAGAAAAAGTTTACAAATGCATGAAATTTAATAAATCATGAGACTTAAAAGAATGATTTCATGCAACAAAAATAAATGCAAAGAAAAAAAAAACAGAAAAAAGATGCTTAGAAATAATGCAAGCAAATTTAGCAAAAAATAAAAATAATTTAAAAATAAGAGACATTTTTCAAAAGTGAAAATTTTCAATATGTAATATATAAAATTCTCAATAAAGGTCAGATTAAAACAAAAATAACAGGAAAATGTTTCCATATAACTTTTCTGAGCTAGTCATAATATTTATTTTTAATTCCAACATTTAAGCTGATGTACTCTTTAGCTTTCTCCAGAAGTATATTGCATCCAGTGGTCTTTATCCTATATTACTGCTATCAGTATCTTCATCTTTGTTGATTTTATCCTCATATTCCAGATGATTTGTTCTTCAGCCTTCCCCAGGCATATATTGCATCCAATGGACTTTAAAAGTTACCAAGTTTATATGTAGTCTTGTGTTACTGTTGAACTGATATTTAAATTAAAAATAACAAAAAAAGATAAAAATTTTTTCGGAGACTACCAGATGCAACATAAACCTTACAGAAGTCAAAGAATTATATCGGGCAAAATGTTCTGTTAAATACGACAGTGCTCAAAAACTATTTGAAAATAAAACGTCGGTCAGAATTTCAGAAAATACAAAGCTAAATGAGGCGTAGGAAGATATGCGAACATTAATCTTCAAAGATTTGCATTGTGGTGCAATGAGTATCAGCTCTGAGTGAGAACTCAGGAAACTGAGTTTGAATTCCAGTCCTGTTGGTCAGATTCATTTATGCACAAATACCCTTGGGAAAGGGTATGAATTCATCTCTTCTCCCCCAGCTATGGGCTGAATAGCAGGACAGAATTGGGTTTTTAGCCTTGGTTGGCAACCAGTCTACTGCAGAAAGAAATGGCAACCTACTGTGGGAAAAAATCTGCCTTGTCAGTCATGTATCAAAAGATACATGATCGCCTAAGTGTGTATCATGTATTGCACATAACTCAAAGAATAGATTTCTTGCCTTGAAAATCTGAGTTTATTTTTTCTGTTTGCATTACTTACCACTGATGCCATTAGAAACTGCAATGATTGCACCAACCAAACATGCCTGGTATAGGGCCACAATTATAGAGCACCCAGTAAAAATCAAATTCATTAGATAAACACAAGGTTGGTGAAAGGAACTTAGTAACAGGCTCTTGTATCACTATCATAAAATATACATTAATTTTTGGACAGCAATAAAACCTAAAAGTGAGGACTTGATCCCTTTTAATCTTTTAACAAATTATTCTTTTCAATAAATTGGTAAGACGATCACAAATAGTTTATATGCAATGTGAAGACCTGATGTAGAATAAAACTGTTAATTCAACTTTATTTATTCTCACATATTATTTGAACTTGTGTCTTCACTTTATTTTCAAAACATTTCAGCCAATGTCTTATGGCTTTCCTTAAATGGATGTGGCACATAAAATCGTACAAAAAAAAAACAAAAAAAATGATACCAATTCAAATAATTTGTACAGTTCTTTTCATCTTGTGTTTACTGTAGCTTATTTGTTTCATTTTTTTTTTTTCAATAAAGCAGCAGCAAATGATCAGATATACAAAAATAATTCATCATCTTCTAGTAGGAAACGAATAATACAATGTCCTTATTAAGAAAATTTTACATCACAATATTTGTAATATGTAATGACAATGGATAATGGCTTGGATTGAAGAATCAGAGTGCCAAATTAGAATTCCATTACATTCACTTACATGCTAATATCTTTGAGAAAGTTATGAATCCATTTCTTCTCCCCCCCTCGGCTATGAATAAATAGCAGGATACACTGGGTTCTATAACCTTGGATAGCAACTAGTTTAGGAGAAAGAAAACTGAATTCAGACCAGCCTGGAGAGGGTTGAGATTCATCAGACTATTTTGCCCAGGAAATGCCACTGTTAATATGGCTGCAGTACAGGTGGCGCTCCAATAAACCTAATGAGTTATGGGACTTGTGAATGACACCAGAATCAAAGGCAAATTCAATAAGTGTGGCCAGATTGCTTCAGGTTTCATTTCAAAAGAATTATTACTGCCTTTATAGAAAGAAAAAGTTTTAAAATCTGTTTACTTTGATACAAAACACACTGCCATGTCAATGCTGAAATTCAGGATTGAATGTAGGACCTTTAAATGCTGAATCTGATGCTCTCTTAACCGCGTTATGAATAACAACCTGTGAATACTCAAAATGGGTGACAGACAGCATTTTTCAGATAAAAGGTTTGTTATTATTTTTGTCACAATCATGATTAGAAAAAACAACAAAGAAACATTGGAAAATGATTTATGATTTTTGCAACAAATCAAATTTTTTTTTAAACACCACATTGTAAAGATTGAACTTGTCTATTTTAAATCACTTCAGTTTTTATTTAAAATCTAGAATAAATTTCATGTTTAGTTATGCAACTAGACATTTTTTTTTCAAGGTTAAAATAAAGAAATCTGACTTTGGTCCTCAAAAATTATGCCCGATTTTTTTTTTTCATAAAATTATAAATTACTGAGAATTTTTTTTCTTTATTTTAAATTAAAATTTCTTTCTTTGAAAAAGCGTCTTGACATCTTTTTGTCATCCACTTGTTTTGAAAAAGCGTCTTATTGACATCTTTTCGTCATCCACTTATTTTGAAAAAGCGTCCCATTGACATCTTTTCATCATTCACTTATTTCTTTTCCTAAACCCAAACTAATTTGGAAACAATTTGAAATGATTTACAGTTTCAAAAATAAAGTCTTTTTTTTTATTCTTAATTTTACAGATTTTTCCCCACCAATTCAAAAGTAGCTTAGAAAGTAATGTTCTGAGAACATTGTCAATCTTATGAGACCAAACAACATTTTTCAGTAAAAAAAGAAAAAAAAATGTCCTAGATTAGAACTTCTGGAGAGAAAGCATAGTATCAGATTCCAACAACTTGCATTTTAAAAGCCAATGACTTTACATGGGAAAGGGATTATTAATTCATCCAATATAGATAAAAAAAAAAAAAAAGCAGATATAAATTCAGATGGATATGAAATAAAACTGAATGAGAATTAATATAATTAAAAAATAAAAAGAAAAGATGGAAAAGGAATTTTTGATTATTATCCTCAAGCCAGAAAATTTCTCAACTTTCTACTAATTGATAATTTCAGTGTTTGGAAACTGAAGTCTTCCATTCTTTTTTTTTTTTTATTTACATGTTTAAATTTAAAAAAAAAAAAAAATTCTTTCGACTAAAAAAAAAAAATTTAAATGCATTCAGTTCATTTACTTACTTCTTCTCTTGTTTTCTCAGCTTCCAAAATTTGCTGGGGGGTTCCTCTTAGGCCCATCGAAGTCGAAGTCTGTGCAAGAGAGCGCCGACTCCCAGGTGTATACATTGAGAACTCATCAGAAACACAGGATGCTGTTAAGTGTCGATCTCTCTCTGCCCGACGTGGTAATGTGTTACACTGTATCAGATTTGCATCACCAACACTATTAAGTGATCGCAGAGAATCTTCAAACTGAGCCCCAGCAAAAGCTAAATTAGTGTTTGGGGACATGTCACTGAAAAGATTTGATGGTCCATTGCCTGTTTGCCTCTGCGAGCGCATGTATACGTCTGGCGTCAAAGGTTTCGAACTATAGCGTGCATAAAGGGGGTTGATACGTTGCAGTGCAGGTCCATGTTGCATGACTTCCATCTCTGTTGACCCAACACGACCATAGTTTCTCCGTTCGCACAGTGACGACTCACTGCTAGAACTAGAACTCGGAAATTGGGAAAGAGTCTGTAATGGGCTGGAAATTTTGTGCACCGTTTCCATCGTGGTTCCCACTCCCAGCGCTGATGCAGCCATGGGTCGTGTGGGACTGCGGGTTTGATGCATTTGAGCACTCACATTGAAACACAATGCAACGTTAGAATCGTCTGTACTACTCAAAGAGCTAGAACTGGATGTCTGTGGCATCTTCATAGCATTTGCTGTCAAAGTGGGTGTCACACCAGCAGCAGCAGAGGCAGCAACTGGAGAAGGACCAGCAACAGCACCACTTGCCAAAGGCACTGCCACTGGACTACCATTTCCCAATAATGGAGACGATGAAGATGATGCAGTTGCTGTAAGCTGGGAATTGCGCTGGTGTTTATAGAGTGGGTTGGAGAATGAGAGCGGTTGTTGGATGGAAGAGGAGTGCTGTGGAGTGAGGGAACCAGATGAAGGGAGACGAGATGGCAAGGACATGTCACTGTACTGCTCATGTGTAGTTGGCCCCCCAGAGAGGTCAACAGGCAAATTTGACTGTCTGTATCCAACAGACTGGTAGTCCGAAGAAGACATGAAGGAACTTTGACCTAGGCAGGTTTTTGGAGGGGACATCAAAGTCACTCCACCAATATTGTTGGTATGATTGTTCTGTGGAAAATCATGGCTGTTCTTGTCAACAGAACCAATTTCGAGAAACCCATCTTGGATATCATCGATGTACGAGATCATATTATCCTGACCGTTCATCACATCTGCTGTAGAGAGAATCTCACTCCATGACTGATTCACAGAGTCCTTTTTATTTTCTGCTTGTTTGGTGACTGAAACATCAGAAATATCAGTCCCCAGTGATAACTTCCTAAAGGCATCATGCAGTTCAGATGATATGTGTTCCTTGCTAACAGACGTCCAAGAGTCATCTGTCTGCCTGTTTAGATGAACAGATGAAGACACCTCTTTGCTCTGACTCACTGTTTTATTGCACAGCTGCACTAACGAGCTTACAGGTGGACTGCTACCTGGGGTGCCTGCCATATTGTCATAGATCTGGCTTTTCCGGTTTGGTTGCTTCTTACCCACTTGAGGGTCTTTCAGTGCTGCAGTTAGGGTACCAAGAATCTCCGGGAGAGGATGCAATTTTTGGACTGTTGTCTGAAATACAACAACAAAATATGAGAACAATGAAAATAAATACGCATATCTGATTCTTTTTATTAAGAGTAGAACAATTCAACTTTTATGCTCATCTGTCATAATAAAAAAACAAAACAAAGTAGATCAGTGCATTAAGCAAGTCAGAACTGTACATGCAATTATAAATAAATAAACAAATAAATAAATATAAAATAAATAGATATAAAATAAATAAGTAAATATAAAATAAATAAATAAATATAAAATAAATATAAAATAAATAAATAAAAAAATAAATAAATATAAAATAAATAAATAAATATAAAATAAATAAATAAAATAAAAATAAATAAATAAATATAAAATAAATAAATAAATATAAAAATAAATAAATAAATATAAAAATAAATAAATAAATATAAAATATGCTCCAGAAAATAATAATTGATATAGACAAAAGTTTGAACTCAAAAATTATTCCAGAGAGATAAAAAAGAAAAAAAAACAAAAAAAAACAGATTTAGTATTAATTTCTATATTGGAATAGATTTCCCAAATCAAAACAGTGTCTTCACTCTGGGCATCAATGGAGGATCTAATTAAAGATATGTTTTTCAGGATGACATCATATTAAAGCTTGTATTTTTATCTTTCAATTTCAAACTAAAATCTCTTGAATTTAAAAAAAAAAAATAACATCTTATAATTTGTCATCATGGCACAATAAAACTAAGAACAACAAATGCTTTACATAAACACAACTCAGAACTTTACGAGGTTGGAGCATAGATTTTACTAATCTAAAATAAAGGATACATTTTTCCCTTTTGGAAAAGAAAAAGAAAATGAAATGTAGAGAGAAAACAAATGTGTGTCATTAATAACAGGATTCAAATCCAAATAATGTATATAATTATTTAGAATTATAAATTTGACAGTAGACATTTAACATTTGTCTAGTTGATCCTGGATAAATATTAGCTATAAGCTGACTTGCTGTAGTGGTTGAATTAGTTGTACGTTTCTCAACCAACAGCAATGGTTAGTGCCCAAGTGCAAATAAATTATGAATATAGATTTACAAGGCCTGCAAACCCTACCCCACTTGAAAGACACACAAAGCAATCTTCTTAGCCTTCATTTTGAATCTGACATGAAAATTGTCGTCTTACCAGATTGAATTTTTCCAAAGTATCAGTGAGAAGAGAATGAAGAATGGACAGTTCCTTGCCAAGATCAATGTCAGCATGGTTCTTCAGAAAAGCATTGTCTTTATTCATTGTCTAGAATTAAAAATTATTGAATGAAAAAAACAAATAAATAAAAAAAAATCAGATGAAGGCGGGAAGAGAAGAATGATGAATTCCAAAAGCAGGGGACCAAAGGCAAGGGAGAATATCATTGTAGAATTTTTATTCATTTATTTTAATATCAACCAAGTTAACCAGGACATGAGCCACACTGCACTCACATGTCATTTGCTGGTTAACAAAGTGTCATACTAAAATTAGTAATCATAGATGTTATTGTAAATAAGACAATAACATCTTTGTTGCTGCTTTCAAAGAAAATAATCATAGATAAACACACATACAAAAAGAAAGCAAGTAACAAAAAAAAAATAAATAAATAAATGCAAGAAAATATGAAATTGATACTGAAGAAATAACACATCAATGCCTATATAATGGTCATAGATTACCTGAAATGTCTTAAGGTGTTCTTGAATATTTAAAATTTGTGAACTATTGTAAATTGTCAAACATGTCTGAATGAGTAAGAGAAATTTACTTTACTCACAGCTATAGATTTTTTTTTTCTTTCTTATGCTCCTCCAGGGCAAACGATTTGTTTTAGGGAACAGGGAAAGAATGTGGAAAGTCAACAAAAGTGGATAGAAGGTAAAAGATGAAAAGAAAATAATTCAACTGACCGAGATGTCTTCAAGGAAATGCTTCATGTTTTCCATTTCATCTTCAACAAAACCATTCAAGAAGACCATAAACTCTTCTTTGCCTCCAAATCTGAAAAAGAGATTTTAGCAAAAACAAAAATTCCAATGAAATATTTAATTCACTACAAGAGAAAATATTCTCCCCTTCTTTTTTCAAATATTCCTTAACAATTTTATGACTGAGCAAAGTTTGAGGAACTTTTAAATTAAGTAACAAAGATTCAAATGTGAAGGAATTAAAGTTACCTCCCTTGAAACATTCAATTTTTGACGAGAGAGAGAGAGTTACATTTTAAGTCACAAACAAAGATACAAAAATTAACAATCAATTATGATTGGGGAAAATTACGTAAAGTAAATTCGTGCAAGTCAGCAAAGAATGTATTTTATAATTCTCACTTAATACTTCTCTTCAAAGAAAAAGAATGAACAGGACTGTAATTTTGTTGCTCCTGACAAATAGACTAACATATTTTTGGTTAATCAGAAAGTGAAAATAGATACCAAATTATATATTGGTCTCAAATAAAATAAAACCTTATATTCTAATTGACATTTATATTGGTGATGGAGCCAAAAGAACATCTTCTATTGAAATAAAAAATACAGGGTGTCCCAAAATAATCGTTTGAATCGTTATAACTTATTCAATTTATGTATTTTGACTTGTAAATAAAATTAATACAAGCGAAAGAATACACAAAGAATTTGAGAGTAAAATATACAAAAAGTATAGAAAATTAACTTTAATAAGATAAAAGCTACTTGGGGCAATGGCAGAATGTTCATATAATAATGAGTTCACATCAAGTGTTCAACCTGGTTGCCGTTCTGTTCAATACACTTTTCATATCTTGAAGAAATAGACCTACAAAAGTCCAGTATCATTTCCTCTGGTATTTAAGCACATTTTTCTTCAACTGCTACTCTCATTTCAGCAATTGTTTCCTGCTGTAAATTTTGTCTTTTAGAACCCCTCAAAAGAAATCCAAAGGTGTCAAATCTGGTGATCTAGGTGGGTATTCAACTGTCTCTCTTCTTCCAATCCATCTGTTTTACATATTTTCATCCATATAAGTTCACACATCACGGTCATGTATTATTAACTATTAATATTTATAGTGTATACATTATTCTGGGACACCCTGTACAAATAGAAAACCATGCAAAGACTTACTGAGTGAAATTGGCTAGTTTTTGGATTGCCTTTGCTATCAGGGTTAATGTCCGTACAGCTTTATCTGAGGGATATTCTGTTAAGTGAAAGCAACAAAAAGAGAAAAAAAGTGAGAAAACTTCACACTATAGCTTGAAACAACAACGTACGAACTGCATAGAAATGCATCTGAGAAATGCTCTGTAAGTTAACATAAGGAAAACTTGAATAAACAATTATGATAAATATAGTAAGATTTACCAATAAAAAAAAAACAAAAAAAAAGCAACAGGTAATGCCACTAGTTAATAGAAATAATGAACTGTAGCTTTTGGATATCTCAAGCCAACACATACATTCTGCAAATATTATCAAAAAGAAAAGAAAGCTGAAAGAGTTGTGTGAGTGAGAAGAAGTGACCCACCTTGGATTAGTTTGAACAAACTTGGAGAGAGAATAGCAGGGCATAAGAACCGCAAAAAGATCGAAGCGCTTATCAGGTTATTAGCAAGGTCTGCTTTGGAACTTTTTAGGCAATTTTCCCGAAATCCTGCAAACACCTCTCGAAGCTCACTGTAAAGAGAAACAGATATTGAAATGCAAAATGCACTAGTATTTACATAATACAAAAAGGTAATAAATCTTCATACTAATTAATATCATTCAAAAACTATCATAAATTTCAAAAACAAATAACTTTACCTTTTTTAATTTATTTTAAATAAAAATTCTTTCAAATATAAGCAAAAGGAACTAAATTTCTTCTTTCAAAATGAGTGATGGTAAAAATATCAAATAGGCAAACATATGAGATGTAGCTTAGTACTCCTATTAGTACACATTGCTGGCCACTTGTATTCAAGGATACCTGTCTACTAGGGTGGCTAGCCAATCCCTATTGCAGACGATTTCTCAGACACATTTGTGTTTATTCAACACCCACAGAACCAACATGTGGTTTATGCTGCAACTATGCTAAGCAGACCTTAGTTACAGTTCCTGAGAAAGAGCGTGTTATCTAGTGTGACCAACAATTTGAACAGGGCCAGCATGCTCAAGCTCTTGGGCACGATGACTTGTGACTTCATGCAAGCACAGCTATCGATGCCCCCCCCCGGTTCGGTCTCTCCAATTTCACTCACAAGGTAAGACATTGAAAATGGTCAACCCGTGGTATGGTTTTCAGGCACTTTTTAATGCTGGGATCGACCTCTGCAGTCTGATAACATCAGGAAGTCTCCTTCTTGAAAAATTGACCATGGTGAGATTTGAAACAGAGTCTCAGTCAGAATGCATACATTCTAACCACTCAGCCATGTGTCCATTAGTACTCCTATTAGTGACAGTAATATTCTAAATTTCTCTGGTAGGGAAGAAAATAGTTGCAAAGTATGACTTAAGTGTATAAATTTCAAAGTAACTAATTCTATTCTTTTTCTTTTACAAACATAAAAAATTCTCCTTAATGCCTGCAATTGTAACAAGAAAAAAAATTACACTTGTACAATTATTTTGCAAGAATGTAAAGAATGCTTGTGGGAATTTTTGGTACCAGTTCTCTTTAGTTTAACTAAATAAGTTTAACATTTTGTAGATGGGCCAAATAGATCTGTCCAACCAAAATCTAATAATACCAACTGACCATAGAGTGGCAAAATTGCAATATAAAAAAACATTTTTTCCAGACGCAGTAACAAAAAACTCATATTTTGAAAAGTGAGGCAGACCAAGAACTTTTCAGTATCTGCAAAACAATTATCTTTATCATTGTTCTCTTGATAATAACCAAAACTAGGGTTTTAATTTAATTATTATATGTTGAATTCGTTCTCTTTTCATTTTTTTTTTTTACAAAGAGAAAAAAAATTTGAATTCTTCCATATAAAAAAATTACCAAATATGGTTAGAAGCTTGTTAAGTCATGTACAAGATCAGATGATACTCAAGGATATTTAAGAATGGCAGGAGAAGAGAGGGATCAAAAAGTTACATCTGAGAATTTAGAGTTAAATAAATAGAAAATTCTGAAATGGAAAAAATTTATGATTAAATGTGAGAAGAGAAAGAGCAGGAGGGTATAGAGAGCAATCATATAAAATGGGGTATTCAGGAGTTAGTTTTCTTTCGAACTTCTTTTAGAAGAGGTGGATTCAATCTGAGGACCATGTTTTTTAAAAGGACCTTCGTCGACAGGAGGAATAAAGAGCAGGTGTTCTAACGGGAGGGAGGATTAAACCAAAGAGAGCTTTTTTTTTAGGAGATTAGAGAGAGAAAATTCCCAAAAAGGAGAAGAGAGGGAAAAAATTTTTTTATTTGAAGAGGGAGGAGAGAGAGAGAGGGAAAAAAAGAGATGCAACTGGAGAGAGAAATGCAATCACAGTTGTTATAGGAGGAGATAGAGAGAGAAGGAAAGGACACAGCTAAGGAGGAGGATTGTGTTCTTTTTGCAAGGGACAGGACAGTCAAAAGAAAAGAGGAAAACTTGGGAAAGGGACAGTTCTTTCAACTTTAAAAACATAAGGACATAAATGGGAAGAAAGGAAAATAAAAATAATTCCTCATTTTATACAAGGACAGAAATGCATTGAATTTTGAGGGATAGGGACAGGTGAAACAGGAGGAAAAAGACAAACAAAACAAAAAATAAACAACATGTGAACACAATTAACACAAAACTTTTCCTTCTAAATCAGTGAGGAAAATATATTTGAGAAAGAGGCCATGTTTAAGGAGGAATAATATTGAGGAGGAGAAGAAGTGAGGAAGGGAAACGAGAAGAAGCAGGAAAGAGGAGCAGTGAGGAGGCTAAATGTGGAGAAGCAAGGAAGATGATAAATAAGGAGAAGCAATAAGGACAAGCAGTGAGGAGGAGATTGAAGGAGTTGAACAGAAAGTAAGGAGAAACAAGATTATTCTAAAGATTTCAGGGTGAGAAGGGGACAGAAAATCTTAAATGTTTGTAGAATTTGGTAAACGTTTGAATAAAAGAAAAAAAAATTAATGGAAATAAAAAATAAACAAAAAACTTTATTTTATTAACACAAACCCGTGGAAATAACTCTTAGAATTGAAGTTCAGTTTCCATGCCTTCTGACAATGGATTTTGAGATTTTCTTGGTTCTTCTGCAGGCCTGCATTGTTCGTCAATTTGGTTGGATCTACCTCACATTCTTCACTGAAAAAGTTTATTTGTCTTGACAAAATCATATTAAAAAGGTTGACTTCAAAACTTGAGAAAATAAAAAGTAAAAAAAAAAATAAAATGAGAATATGAAAATTTTTCAACAAAAATGAAGAAATATTGTTATTCATCAAAATAAACAACCATGCATAAAATCCAAGAAACACATGAATAATTAATTTAATGCGTATTCAAAGGATAATAAATGAATCTACTATGAAAAACTAGCCAATAAATATATATTGCAGCAACACTCGCTCATTTAAATTTGTGATTTTTTTTTTCCCCACAGAGCTAAACCTGTTTTTTATACTGCAACTATTTTGAGCAGACCTTAGTTATAGTTTCTGGGGGGTTTGTTATTGTTATTTACATGATCAACAATTTGAACAAAAGTTTGCAAACTTATCAATAACCCCCAAGTGTTCTGTCTAAACTGGGAAAATTTCACTCACAAGGAAAGGGCCAACCCATGGAATGGTTTTCAGGCACTTTCAAAATTTCCTGACATACTGGGATCGACCCTCCAGTCCAATAACATAAGGAAGTTTTTTAATGACAATTGACTTTTTATAGTGAGATTTGAACCCAGGTCTTTGACAAGAATGCAAACATTTAACCACTCAGCCATATAATTTCATGGGTTAAAGCATTGGTTCAAAATATGCCTGGTTCCCTGGTAGAAGCAGACAAATGACACAAAAAATATAGAGAATATTAACTGCTATGATAATTGCTATTTATGGAAAATAGAATGAGAATTATCAAAATTTCAGTGGATCATTATAAAGTAATTAGTTTAAAATTGTTCCAAAGGACAGTAATTATACACCTACAAGACAAGAAAATAAACAATAGAAAAACATTTAATTTATTATAACAACTAACATGAGAATGCTAGTCCTAGTGGAAAGGCATATTATAAAAAACCCAATTACAAAAAACAAACAAGTTAAAAACACAAGAGAAAAATATTTTTCATTGCAAACAAAAAATAAAAAGCAAATAATACAAAAACAGTTCAATAACTTCCAAATTGCAGCCTCTTGGTGAAGTTAACTGTAAAGAAAGATTTTAATAACAACTTCAAAGTGGAATAAGCAGCAGCATCAAAAAAAAAAATGTCCAAATGGTTGGAAAGTGAAAGGATCAAATTAAAAATCATTTAGAGAAAAAAAAGTTAAAAATTAAAGTAACCTCCTAGGAAAAGCTTTATTGTATTGCAAATAGACCAGGTATGATATCTTGCACAAAGCCTGAGTTGGGCAAAGGTTTCAGTAGTAAACACAGAAGTCAAATCCATATTGGCACCCCACAGTAACTCCTATAACAGGCAAGTCTTGAGCAGTAACAATTTCTCATAACACTGGATAAAGACTGCAATACTACCAAGAAAGATTTACAACAGGCAAGTCTTGAGCAGTAACAATTTCTCATAACACTGGATAAAGACTGCAATACTACCAAGAAAGATTTACAACAGGCAAGTCTTGAGCAGTAACAATTTCTCATAACACTGGATAAAGACTGCAATACTATCAAGAAAGATTTACACCAGTGCAAGGATTTTCTCATTTTAATTTCTTTTCCTACACAAGCATCTTTCCATCACAGATTCTGCACTGTCAAAATTGGGTTGCAGAGCCACTCAAGAATTCACAGATGAATACATCATTTTTTTTTTTCCAGTGCTGATAAATAATTTAAAAACAAAAATGGAGGGCTAGTCAAATTTGAAGGAATCTAAAATCTACCCTAATTGATAGAAATGCAACAAGTATATACTTACATCTTCACCTATAAGTTTTCAATATAATTTTTTCCATTGCTTTTGGCAATTTTTTACCACGGAATGTAAGATGTTCATTGTCTAAAAAAGAAACAAGGAGAAAAAGAAAAGATAAATTCCAGACACTGGCATAAATTTTAAAATGAACAAAGTATTATTTCAGGCTCTCAATTTTTATTTAAAAGAAAAAAAAATATGATTATTTTATAAATTAAAAAAATATTTTAAATTATTTGAAACCTGAAACTTAATATAATTAAACACATTCTTTGTTCCTTTTGTTATCTTGGCTAATTCAACAGCCTTCTTATACAATGTGTAGAAAAAGAGAAGGACCTCTTTTCATCATAAATATCAAACAAAGTGACAAATATTGAGACCAATTCATTCCCAGCAAGGTAAGCTGTAAAAGTGCTTTTTATATAAAGGGTGTTCCAATAACTTGGAAAGATTTTAAATGTGAATTAAGTTGAAGCGTCTAATGATTTTTTTCTTTTTCTTTCAGATTTAACAACTTAAGTCTTTGGTAATTTCAACCATGGAAAGATTAACACTCAAACAATGTGTTAAAGTTTCAAGAGTGCAATTGGAAAAATTGTTTGTAAATTCAAACAAACTGGGTCGGTGACAGATGTAAAAAACACCATTGCATGCTTGTTTACGCTGTTCAGCTGAAAACATTGCTGCAGTTCATGAGAATGTGGCTGAAAATCCAGATACCTCTATTCGCCAGCGTGTGCAGGAATTGAACCTCTCCATAACAACGTTACATCATTTCCAATTGCATTCTTGATGGGTCAATTATGTTGACCAAAAAAATCAAAAAAAAAAAAAATTGAAACCTGAAATGCATTTTTGTTTGAACGTCCATTTTCGTAATAGGCTTCGATAACTTTAACAGGTTGTTTGATTGTTAATTTTCCATGGTTGAAATTAATAAAAGACTTAAGTTTTAAATTTGAAAAAAAAAAAAAAAAAATTATTAAAAACTTAAATTAATTTAAAATTGGTCCAAGTTATTGGAATACCATTTTTTTTCATCCATAAACTGATATTTAAAATTTGAACCCTCATGCGGGAAAAGAAATTTATACTACACTAACATATGTTTAATATTCTCTCCCTGCAAAAAAGATTCATTTTTACCATTTGGATCTCATTTCACAGCCCCACTTTTCCTTTAGGATTTGATTGGTCAGATGTACAACTTTAAGTTCCTTATTTTGCAGTGTGAAAAGTATAAAAAAAAAACTCTTTGGATGATAATGGTTCTTCTCAAAATTATCAGTGTTTCAAATTGTATTTTTATTTAATCATAAAAAGAAAAATCAATATATAAAACAATTTTACCATAAGTCATTTCCATAAAAACAGCCTATGCTGATAGTCTAAAAATTTTTAGTATTTGGTGTAACATTTTCATCCAATAAAAGTTATTTTTGAACAACGAGTAAATATTGATTAGTTTAATTCATTGTAGGCATTGTTCACCAGATTACAGCATCTGGTGATAAATTTAGCATCCAAAGAACAAAAGAAAAAAATGTTACTTACAAAAACCTCTCCAGTGAAAATAAATCCCATTTACATTTATCAACAAAAAAGAATATTTACAAAAAACATGAATTGACAATGTAAATAAGAAGTTACGGGGACAATAAAAGACAAAAACAAGACAATAATGAATGCTTTCTTAAAAAAAAAAAAAATTTATAGAAACATAAATTTTTAATGAGAATAATTTTTAACACATGTCCAGACCCACAAATTGGACTATTATCTTCATCTTTGTTGCCATATTTGCCATTTTTTTTTTCACTATTTTTCAGTAAATATCTATATTTTTGACAATAGAAAATTTATTTTTTTAAATATTTACATTATTGGGACTATTGTCCTCATCTTTCCTCATTTCGCTTTTGTTTATCTTGTTTTTTATTTTTATTTTTCTCAGCCTTCTTCAGATGGTTGGAATGTAAAAACTGAACCTTTTTTTTTCGCTCATGGGTAAACTTACATATTTCCATTGTGCCATGTCTAATGTTTTCACAAAATTGGATTGTTTTAATTCCCCTCTTGTGTTTCTCCACTGCCTTAACCAAAGTATTGAACTCACAGTTTTTTGGGTTCTGTCATTGGATATGTTAATGCCTTTAAATTTGTGCCAAGTGTCCTTGAGGACATCTGTGTATGAATTTCTTATTTTAAAGAAATGAAGGGTTCAGTTTGACATTCCAACCAGAGTTGAATAAATTATTTACAAAGCTGAAGCGTTGTGATAAACATGGCAACTAGTTATATTAGGACAATAATTATGTAAATGTAAATTTAATATTTTTTCATTAAATTTTCATATAGAAATTTACTATATAGCATGTCATACTAAAATTTTATTCTAAATATTGATGTTGTTAAAATTCTTTTTAATTGTATTCAAAAAAATTTCTAAATTATTCAAAGAGAGAAAATTCTAGTATACAATCTTTCAAAGATTTTGATGCATCAGCAACATTAGACAGAGAACAAACTGCCTGTTTTAGGTCTTCAAATTTTTTAAAACAATTTATGAAAAGTAACAATTTTTTGTGTGTGTTTTATATAGTAAATTTTATCATTGTGGAAAAAATTGTTTATTTCAATTTGACACAAATGTTTTGGTGATAATTAAGGTTGTGTTGTTTTAAAAAAATTTGGAATAAAACTTCTAAATCAGAAATTCTAAAAACTTTGAAGTTAAATAGACTGACAAAGAACAATTTCATCATCTAATCTACCTTTTCTACTTCTAAAATCATTGTTATATTAATAAAATTGGTTAATGTTTCTCAGTAAAAACCCATAATTTTTTTAAAAACCAATGAATTTCATCAGTTCAGGCCAATAAAATTGATTTCATCATCAAAATCATCACTGCTGTGATGAAAATCAAGAATTATTTTGTAAATTTTAAACAATGTAAAAATTGACAAAAAATGTTTTTTTCATTTTTTTATATTGATTGAGATGAGGTAAAAAAAAAATTTATGAACATAAAAAATACTGTTTTGCTCATTGACAAAATATTTTGATGTTTAGCTGTTGTATTTTGGTTTGGTTCAAATGAAAATACATTGAAAAAATTTCAAAAATTCCCTTTTTTTTGTTCACTGGATATTTTATTTTAGTTTATTTTTTCATAATTTTCTGGATGGTTAAGTTTTTCAGTTAATTTTCTTTAGTAAATTAATGTAAAATCTTTGAAAAGATGTTGGAAATTTAACATGGAATGAAAAAATGTTTTATCTGAAAAAATTCAGCAAATTGAAACAAATATTTAATTTACTAAAACACAACATAAAATATATACAAGATATACAAAAATTTAAAAAAAAAAAAGAATTTTTCTATTTTTTAAATAAAAAGTTTAACATGGGAGAAGGAAATTGGATTCAGTCAAATTTTTTTTATAATCATAAATTATAAAATAATCTAATTAAAATGCTAATAACTGGAAATCCATAAACATGAGAATATATTGAATAATTTTAGTTTGGTATAATAATGAAAATTTTTAAAATTCATTCAAAAATTTGTTCCATTGGTTCTCTTTTTTTCCATTAAATAAAAGTTTAACTTTTCATAGAGATTCTTTCATCTGATAAATATTCTTAAAAAAAAAAATTAATTTTGATACTGGCAAAAATTTCTTTAAAAAAATGACAATTTTTTTAAACCTTTTTTAACATTACAAGCACAATAATTAACATATTAATAGATGTTTCTCAAATCATCAAAATTTTTTTGAATATACTGGAATGATTTAAAATCTTCCAAACATTTATTTCTAATTTCTCTAAGAGATTTCTACTTCATGAATGAAAACTTTTTTGTATTATCAATAGGTTCAGTAGAATATTTATACTATAGAAATGCATCTATTAACAAAAATTGAATTTTCAATTTTTTTTTAAAAAAATTTTTCGTTTGAATATGATAAATAAAGATGATTTAAAAACAATCTAAAATTTTGTAAAATGAATATTCTTGTTTAAAAACTTAGGATAAACATTTCCCTAATGAAAAAAATTGACAACACAAAAAATTGCTTCAATTAAAATGTTATGATGTTCTCTGTATCTGAATTTCACTATAATTTTAAAAAGGTTTTTTTTTTGATTTGTTTCAATTTAAGCATATCAACCTCAATGGGTTATTTAATGCTGACAAATATTATTGTAAATTTTAATATTTTTTTCAAAATGTATTGCTGGTAATGTTTTTCATTCAAAATTCTACTGCTGGTAATATTTTTTTTTAAAAAAAAAATGTATAATTGGTAATTTTTTTTTAAAAAAGAATCAAAATTCTGGTAATATTTTTTTTTCCAAAGAAATGTATTACTGGTAATATTTTTTTTTTCAAAAAAAAAAACAATTTTTACAATAATATTTTTTTTTTTTTTCCAAAGAAATGTATTGCTGGTAAAGTTTTTTTTTTTTCCATCAAATGTATTTTGGTAAATTTTTTTTTTCAAAAAATGTATTGTTTTTTTAATATTTTTTTTTTCCAAAAAATGTATTGCTGGTAATATTTTTTTTTTTAATAATTTTCCTTCAAAACTGTATTGCTGGCAATAATTTTTCCTTCAAAATGGATTGCTAGTAATAATTTTTTTTCAAAATGTATTTTGCTGATAATAATTTTTTTTTCTAAATTGTATTTCTGATAAAATTTTTCCTTCAAAATGTTTTTCTCGATAAAAATTTTTTTTAAAAAAAATGTATTTCTTTTAATTTTTTTTTTCTGAAAAAAATATATTTCTGGTAAAAAAAAAAAATGTATTGCTGGTAATAATTTTTCCTTCATAAAAGTATTGCTGGTAAAAAACATTTTTCTTCTTGAAAATGTATTTCTGGTAATAATTTTTTCATCAAAATATATTGCTGGTATTAATACCTATTTTTACACCTCCACAGTGTTTTGACTCCTGTTTGGGGGTCAACTATTTGCCCATAGCTGGGACCCTAACAGGTGCTACCACCCCAGGTCATGGTGGACCAAGGAACATCAGCAATTATGAGGTGGTTCCACACTCCTCAAGCCTCCAATCAGAGGCCTTGCTGTTGGATGTAGTTTAATGTCTTACCCAGGACACTGGAAAAAATAGGAAGTATTACTGTTTGAACAACCCTCATAGATTGGAACTTAAATAATGAAATCAAACTGAAAAATGTTCCCAAGATGATTCCATAATTTGTCTGTGATCAGAGTGGGAAGTTTTCCATATCAATTTCTTACATGAGATTAAAGGAAGAAACTTTAAGCAAAGATGAGAAGAGTTTTTCATTTTGGCATTTTTCTTTTTATTTCCAGTTTTTAAATCTTCATTTTTAATATTATAGTTTGAATTAATTAAAAATTTCTTTGCAGTAATTTGCCTATAAAGTAATTGTAGATGAATGACAGAACTTTGTCAAGTGCTTTTTATGCAACCAAGAGTAGATTACTTACCTAGCCTTGATATTTCTTCCATTTTGACATCACACCTGAAAAATTCTTTGCTTTTATCCAAAAATTTGCAAATACATGGACCAGACAAATTGAGATATCTTCTTTCTAAAATGAACACTAAAACCAGGGGTTCCTATCAAAAAAGTGTTACATAATTCTTACAGATATACTGAAGAGAAAAAACAAAAATGATTTAAAAACATTTTATCAATGAAAGAAAATAATTGCAAAGGCTTTGGTTTATATCAGCTTATTATTTTGGAATGACAAAGCACAGAAAAAAATTTCTTCTTCTTGAAACTCTTATTGATCAATCATTGTTCAACCATATCTATACAGATCACATATTACCAATTAGGGCACTTCAACGTGGTGTAATGGTTAACAAGTTTGTCTCGCTAGATCAATTACGACTGAATAGTGAGTTTGACCCTCAAAAATTGCCCATTTATACTTTTGGCCTTGTTAAATGTATATACTATAAATTGTCATCAATAAAAAGTCAGTTTTAGTGTCATCATAACCAAGTCTACACTTGTTCACTTTTAGAAAATCTTAGAACTTAAAAGCAAAATGGATTTCTGCCTGTAATCACAAAATCTTACTTATTATAAAACGCAGATTATGTGTGTGTGTGTGTCTGTACATTTATATATTGGATTGGATTTCCTACATTTTTCAACCGATTTCAACAAAACTTCACAGGACTACATAAAATTACCTTGCGGTGGTTTTGACAGCACCAAAAATTGGAAAAGCACAATTGTTTTTCCACAAAATCAATTTGAAAATACGATTAAGAGTCATCGCAAGAATGAAAGGGGGACAACTCATATCAAGTTATACTTATAAAACCCAGGTGTGTGTGTGTGTGTGTTCATTTATATATGGGATCGGATTTCCTACATTTTCAACTGATTTCAACAAAACTTCACTTTTTTTTTTGGCAGGTAGTGTTTCTTATTGTCTTGCACACTTTTTTTCTTTATTTTTACATTCAGAATGCTTTAAAAATTCCATTTACAAGACAATTGTTTATAATAAAATTCTATTCAATCGGTAGACTCATAACGATTGAAAACAATGTCTTTTGTTTGAGTTTGGGTTTGACCAATTAAAAAAAAAAAAAAAAAAAAAATAATTAAGACATGCGTGTCCATCAACCTTAAACAATAATCTTTGTCAATTTTATTTTTCAGTCTTTATGATGGTCGATACTTGATCTATCTCTTACTGTTACATCCCCAGGCAACGCCGGCCTCTACTGCTAGTATATACTAAAATTGTATCAGATTTAGTTCCCAAATTAGAATTATACAAAATTTCACTTATTTATGTGGGTCCCTGTTACATGAAATTGAAATTACATAAAATATCAAATACAATATTTATAAACCAATCACACTCAAGAAAACACTTACACCTTAAAACACACTAATAAAATCATAGAATACAAATCAGAATGTTTGTTGTATTAGTCATCATTATTTTTAGGTAGATACCGACCAAATATCATGCAGACATAGTAGAAGACATACAATGTGCCTTTCTAGGGCCAATTAGGAATAAATAAATAATTTAATTCTGGAGCCGATTTAGTTATGAAAAAGTGTATAAAAATGCATGAAATCCGTTCCCAAACAGGACACACACAGTTGTCACTAAACTCAGCGCAACTCTCGCTTATGACCTTGACGACCTCATGCTAAAAGTGACAACGTTGACAAACTTTAAACTACAGCAACACCGCCAACAGTAAAAAACAATTTCTAACTATCTCTTGTATCTGCTTTACTATGAATCATGCACACACATGTTGACTTTTCCATACAAACTCACATATCACAACATCTTATTGTTTCTCGCATACCTACACAAAGAGAATTTATATTTTATTTCAGAATTTTATCAACCCAAACAAAAAGACATTACTTTTCAATCTATCATCAACTGCTTGTATTCTTGTCGTTATATTAAATTAATGTTTATTTGTTGAAATTGCGTTGTCTTTTCTACTGAATTTTATTCCTTCAATGAAAATTGTGTGATTATTCTAGACGACCAAATTACAAGCAACCCTGTAACGATATTTTGTTAAGGTATCGAATCCCAACATTCCAAATTTTAACATTCAACGAAAAACTGAGTAGAAGGATTCCTACAAAATATCCTTTTGCATTGAGGAAAGAAGAGTGTTCGCATCTTATTCAAGATTGGTGCAATTGTGAAGACCAAATTGTACAATAAACAAGCTTTTACATGAACACATTGATTTATGAGTTCCTGACACAGTGACACCTATATGAGTCATACTGGAAATATCACTGAAGGTTTGGTTTTTATAATCAATATAGAACAAAATATATTAAATAATTTTAATCTTTCAATAAACATAACTGCTGTATGCACAAAGAAAAAAGGAAAAAAAAAAGGCACACAGACTTACCTCCGTAAAATCATGGTAAAGGTCTAAAGGTAGAATTTGAACCGATTGGTATTTGACCCGCACTCGAACCAGCGGTAATTCAGTTCTATTTTCTCTGCCCTGTTTTCCAACCACAATGGAATTTGCTGTATACCTAAAAAAAATTTTACCCGACATTGAAGGAAGCTTACAGTAGTTACTAAGCAGATATTTAGTAAAAGAAATGCCATCATTCCATATTTTTGTTATCCAAGTATCTTTATAATTGTTGTTTTTAAACAAAATTAATAAATTCAATACACAAGTTGGTCACAAGAGGACAGGATATACTAAATAAATACATCAACTTAAATAAAAACTACATTCATCACTTATTGTATTGCCAACTAATGAATAAACATACTTTTCATACAATTAACTCTACACATATGCATAATAACTAAATATGAATAGAAAACAGGAAAAAAATTGATTTAATAGAAATAAATCCCATTTATCTATTTTAATGAGTGAAAAAAGTATTTGTACAATGCAAATTTCAGATTTAAAATTTTTTAAATTGTCTTAATACTTGATTCTTCAAGTGCAATATTCTAGAATATTCCAATGTTATCAGTAGTTATTTTTAGCCTAAAAAATACAAACAGAATATTCTGTAATTCCTATACATTCAAGAAAGTTATCATCATTCCAAGAAGTAAAGAATTAACAAATTCGCAAAAAGAACTGATTGTTAAGCTCTGTAAAGAAGGTAAAAGTTATAGGGAAATCTTAGATAACCTGAATATTCCATTTACTACCATTAGTTCATTCATCATATATATATATATATATATATATATATATATATATATATAAATTAATAAATCGAAGACTTCAGAAAGCCATGGTAATATTTTATTTCGAGAAATCAAATTATTGATTTCACTTCATCAGACCTGGCATTTCAAAACAATGAATGGATTCAAAAATTCCTCCAGGAATCAAACAAAAAAACAAGATTAACGGAAGTTGTGTTTTAAGATAGTTCCACAAAGTAGAAAGGAAAAGAGGGAGGTATATGTCTCTAGGAGATGCAATAGTAGTAGTGTTCACCTCTTGTTCTCCGAGCAAGAATGGAACAAAGAAAATGGAATTAATTATCACTTGCTTTGTTTATTACATTGAGCTGTCAGGATTTATATAACTATCATATTATAATATATGTCTCCAAATCTTATCTTGATAAGTCACCAAAAATTTTTTGTTGCTAATGTATGAGTTACGGCCCTTGACCCAAAGACATGTTTGGTTGTCTGCCCTTGGCGACACATAAAAGCAGTGGCTTCCATTACAACTGTTTTGTTGTGCGTACAAACTGGTTCTTAAATGTATGGTTTCTCATTACAGGCTCTGTAAATTAAATTGTCAAGTGATAAATTGGGACATTTGAATTTTGTATTTATACTTTCAATAGATTCATTAAGATGTTTTTGCAAACTGGCCCAATTTTCATATGAAAGGTGTTTGTGCCTAAGAGCTTGTGGAAGAAAGTAGTTTATAAAGACAAGGAGGAATTTTAAATTGCACAAAGAAAGCAAGTATAGATAAAGAGGAATTGGCAGATGACCTGATCGAAACTATGGGTAATCTTTAAGAACTAAGAAGCAACAAACACAGTATGCACCATCACCAAATTACAATACAAGGTGCTACTAAATGTAGCATATATGTACATATGTTATGAGATGCAGTGAAGGCTGCAGGAAGTGTAAAAGTGGTAGAGTGGGCTCAAGTTCCTGGTTGGGCCCAAAAACTGCATTTGTAGTACGTATTGGTTTGTTTGATGGCATATCAACTTCAATGGGTCATTTAATGTCGACAATTTTTTTTTCTGGTAATATTTTTACTTTGTCAAAAATCTATTTCTGTTAATATTTTTTCCTCAAAAATGTATAGCTGGTAATATTATTTTTTCAAAAACGTATAGCCGGTAACACTATTCTTTCAAAAAAAAAAAAAAAAAAAAAATTATAAGAGGCCCTGCTGTTGGACGTAGTTTATCGTCATACCCAGGATGCGGATATAGTTTATTGTCATACCCGGGATGAAGTACACATTGATGAAACTGTGGAATGATATATCATCAAGTGATATCCATAGTTTACTAAGAATCTGTGAAATCTCGAAGCCTCAACCATACTCAGGACACTACAAGAATGACCAAAAATATTCTAGTCAATATCAAATCACATCCTAATTGAATGCTGGTACCACTCAGTTTGTATAGTGTACAGTATATACTAAGGAGTTTAAATTACAGTTATTGATATCATGGTATTGATTACTGCATTTCACTATGGGACTGTAGATAGTGACTGCTGCTAAATTTCATGCTATGAAGATGTTTAGCTCATGAGAGCCATCTTGTCCTTCTATCTCTTAGTCTTGGAAAGCATTAGAGCATCTTTCAGCACTAGATTAATCTGCTGGAGGTCCTGGTGGATAACATTCTTCCAGCCACTGCATGGTCAGCCATGAGGTCACCACAAGTTTGCATATGGCAGATTGAACTGGTACATGACTTTAGCAGGATAGTCATCAGTTTATTGCAGAACATGGCCAAGCCAGCAAACACAGCATTGAATGATGGTATCAAGGATGTTCAGCTGGCTGCTGTTCTAGTGGAGCTTCGCATTAGATACAAGATCAAACCAGTGGAGTGATAGTTCATGAATGTGAGAGGCAAGGGTCTTACCGAGAGGCCATGTCTTGTTGCTGTATAGTAGTATAGAGAGAATGAGAGTATTATAAACTTGTAGCTTGGTGCATCAAGAAATTTGTAATGTCACCATAGTAATCTCCAAAGGTCTCACGACACCTGCACCCATTCCATGTCTTCTGCCGATCTCTGTGAGGAGGACACCAGTATTGGAAACTTCTTAGCCCAAGTATATGAAAGACATGGTGGACTCAACAGGGTTTCTTCCAATGATGATGGGCAATTGATCAGGTCATCTCCCACGTGCATCAGCTTAGTCTTTGACCAGTTGATGCACCGACCAAGCCGTGTTGTTTTCCTGCTTAACAAGTGGGGCGCCCCCTCCAACTCAAAGATCGAAGAGCAGCAGAACTGCATCATATTGTTGGTGTAGTTGCACACTGTATGGTGAAGAAAGTGAGGAGATTTGATGAGATGGTGAGGGTGCATAGGATGTTCCGTAGTGTCTGTTAACTGTGTCAAAGGTGACCTTCAGGTCAATAAAGGTGACATGTTTTTTCTGATCTGAAGAGTCCAGTTTGCAAAACTTTTAGGCAGTGAGTTCAAATTGCATGTGGAGAAGACTACATGAGGCCCTGGCAGGGTGTTATGTAACCTGTTGGTAGCTCAGTAATGGTGTGGGAATGCATTCTGTTAGAGTTTGCAAATTTCACTAGTGAAATGAGAGTCTATAATGCCATGTGTCATTTGCAGATAATTTGCACACTTTTATGCTTGCCAGTAGTGATGACTTCTTTTTAATTCAATATTCAAGTTTACCTGGTTCATTTCCAAATTCTTCACTGGATCCTAAACTTGCCAAATTTAAGCTCTATTGAACATATTCAAACCTCTATTTCCTGCAGTCAACAATTCGGTTATAAACAGTTGTGGAATATGCCTGGATACACACACTAAACCATTTTATAATTTCAGTCTGATGAGGCAGATATTAAAAACTTATCTGTCAAAATAAATTTATTACCGAATTCTTCGATGATGTGTCAAGTTTTTTCCTTATCAATGTATATCATATGACTGTATATAATGGATCTATATTTTTAATATTTTATATTAAAAAGAACTACTTGGATTATCCTTACCACTTATGGATTTATATATATATATATATATATATATATATATATATATATATATATAAAATAAATAAAAGTGTATTTAGGCAGCAAGAATTATTTCAAACAAGTTTTGTTGTACAATATTAACAAGGTCTGTCTGTTCAACTTTTTTATTAAGTTTCTCCAACTTCCGACTAAGTTGTTTTATACAATTGGTAAACTTTCAAAAATTAAGTTTTTTTTGTTTTTTTTTTAATCGAAGTACTTTTGACTGTTACTACAGTTAATTTTAAGAATTTAGTCTTTTATCTGTTTATAACACTTTTTTATTATTTTTATTATATATATATATATATATATATATATATATATGCATCAAAAAAACCTTAGCATTGTAAAACTTATAGAGGTCAATCTAAAAGCTACACAATACTGAGCCTAAAATGTAATAATAATGGAAAGAACTCCTCAGACATGTACCCCTATAATTCTTCAGACATGTACCCCTATAATTCCATAACTGGCAGTTTTCATGCTTTACACAATCTTTATTCTTCTTTATTGTTCCTCATTCTGACTTGAAGATTGCACACAGTGTAAAACTGTGAATTACTGAGGTATAGGGGTATGTGCCTGAAGAGTTATACATCACACATGCAACATCTTATAAATTCATGTCACATTTTATGTTGTGTAAGTACTATTATTCAGGTGAATGGAGGAGCTATATATTATTAGACAGGTGTATCTAATTTTTTGGATTACAGTTTTGTGTAGGTCCTGTACTAGGAATGAAGTGTTGTTTTATTATCAGCATTCAAGTGAAGGCCACAAGAACTGAAAGAATCAGAAACACTTATTCCACAGACATTCTGTTGCTCTTTCAGATTTCCAGACTAGTTCTTTGCTATCTTAGCCAACTGGCAGGTATAGTATGTTTCATTTATTTGATAAAGCCAAGAAATGGCAAAATTTCTTCTGGCATTGGTTCAGAAAGAAAAAGGGTTTTGGTACAAAAGAACTGATAAGCAAGACAATCTCAAAGGAAGAATTGATAGCAAAAAAACAGGTGGAAGTAAAAAAAAGAGAAAAAAAATTCTCTGAAATGACAAAGACTGAATTTGTTTTTGGTTTGTTTTTTTTTTGGCAGTGTGAAAAAAATAAAAAATAAAAGGAAAAAAATTCCTCAGAATAAATAGATTTGTGGATTTATAATGTAGTTGTTTAATTTGAAATGAAAATAGTTTCAGATATAAATTTAACCTTGTAATGCCTTTGCTAGCAATAAATGAAATAAAGAACACGTATAATAGAAGATGAAATAAAGAACACGTATAATAGAAGATGAAATAAAGAACACGTATAATAGAAGATGAAATAAAGAACACGTATAATTGAAGATGAAATAAAGAACACGTATAATAGAAAATGAAATAAAAAACACTTATAGAAAATTAAACCAATATCACTGTTTTCTTCATTGTTGCTATGAGATGTCTTGGAAGGACACATACCATGGTGAATAAAATTCAAAGAACTTTGGAATTTTTCAACTTACCATTTTTCAATGAGTTGCTTGTTTCCAAGTTCATGAACTGGTATTGATACACAGCCTGTGAGAGAGGCAACAAAAAAATAAAAAGTTTTATTCTTTTCAGTTGATGATGTTGAACAATTTGAGAACATAATTATAAAAGAAATTTAAATACGGATTTTTTTTTTTTTACTGATTAGTAGAAGAGAAATTTTCATTAACATTTTCTCAGTGAAGTTATTAAAACTGGAAAAACTTTCTCCATTTGTCTGATCACACAAACTTACTATTTCTTCAATGTCATCCATGCTGTTTTACAAAAATGTCTCCTTCTTTCCACTTGGGAATCTCTTAAAGGATGCATCACATCCATAATTACCCCCACCTATTTTCATTGGTGCATCTGAATTATTTTAAATGTTTTTTGGGGCGTCTTTATTTATTGGAATTATTGCCACTGATAATCAAGATAATAAGATATACAGTAACGAGGCAAACAAGATTACCTTTTCATTACATTTGAGAAATTTGTAAAGAAAAGAGAGAAAAAGAAAAGAGAGAAAAAGAAAAATGGGACACCACTGACCTATTTTTGTAGTTTTATCTTTCTTCTTTTTTTTGTCTGCCTCTCGGTACAACTGGATGATAATTTGATTGATATTTTTCAAGTTACTATAAAAGAAAGAAAATTATTTCATAATAACAAAACTAATGCAAGTAGATAGATATATATATATATTTATATATATATATATATATATATATATATATATATATTGTGTAAATTTCTCAAATCTAACTTTTGATTTTTGAGAGGAAAAAAAAAATGAACATTAAAAATGTCTGAACAGGTTTATAAAAAAAAAAAATGAATGATTCATTCATTGACTGGTTTGTTTTTTATTTTTACGGGTTATCAACCTTTTGTAAGTTATTTAAAGCCAGAATTTTTTTTTTTTTAGAGTGTAAGAATTTTTTGGAGATAATGATTTTTATGGACACAAATCCTACAAATTAATCCCATAATTGAGTGTTGAGAAAAGGTGGATTCATGCCTTTCTCATGGGCATTTGTGTGTAAGAGAATATAACAAACCCAACTTGAATTGGAACTCAGCTATCCAATCTCCAATTCTGAGCTGTTATCCATTATACCAACCACACATCCACATTTACAGCAACTGGTATTCCCAAGCGATTAACCATCTAGCTACTGACCAGGCTCAGATTTACATAACTTGAGTGATCATATAAGAACTGGTGTTTCAATCTGATATGGCCGTAAGCTTCATAAAGAAATGAACGGTTTCATAATAGATTTATTGTTATATAATAAATTTCATGCAGAAATGTCTATTGACCTGAAAGATACTCTTAAGAACCAAAGCCCAAAATATATCCACATCCATAATCTGATGATAATAGCAACCCACAAAAGTGGGCAACTGGGCAAAGCCTGGAATATATTCCCCTACCAATCAAAATCATTGGAGAAATAAATGACAGGGTGAACTAATAAATCAATCCTCTGTGTACATAAGCAATCATAGCTCTCCACAGATTCCAGCTCTCTAATACTTGCAAATTTTCAAAACTGTTCTTGAGAAAGTAGCTTCCCATCACAGTTTTGAATGCAGAGTTGTCCTTATCCTAGAGAGGATGCCCTATCAAAGCAAGAGTGTCCAGTCTACCCTACTATTATACCCATAGCTGATGAGAAAGGAATGTAAAAGCATAAACTATAATTTAATCTCTGCCTACTATTTTCTGTACCAATATTTGTTACATCAACTGATGATGACAAGAGAGAAGACAAAATGAAAAGTAATTTCATTTCTAAAACAATTTGTATTTAATAGTAAAATACAAACATTAAAATTATTGATAAATTATTTATTTTACAAATATTTTCATGAAGTTTAAAATTTACTGTTTGCCTTGTCAATCCATTAATGGTAAAGAAAATTCATTTTTTTTAAATGTCTGTCATGTGCTTGTAATGTATATGTATTGCGATACCTCAAGATGAAATCAACAGAAAGTAGCCACATAATCTCAATCGTCCTGGGCATGATGATAAACTACATCCGCCTCCTGGACATGATGATAAACTACATCCGCGTCCTGGGCATGATGATAAACTACATCCGCGTCCTGGGCATGATGATAAACTACATCCGCGTCCTGGGCATGATGATAAACTACATCCATCCTGGGCATGATGATAAACTACATCCACAAGCAAAGATAAGGAAGGTTTGAGGAGTGTGGAACCAACTCTTAATTGCTGGTGTTCCCAGGTAGCACCTGTAGGGTCCCAACCATGAGCAAATAGTTAACCCCCAAACTGGACCAAAACATGTAAAAATAGGCTTTATTACCAGCAATACATTTTTGGAAAACAAATATTACCAGCAATAAAAATCTTCTCAGCATTAAATAACCCATTGAGGTTGATATGCCGTAAAACAAAACAAACCAAATCAAACCATAATTTCCATTACTACATGACCTTTGGGCATGTGGCCAAGTGGTTAGAATGTTCACATTTTGGCCATGAGACCCAGATTCACATCTCACAATGGTCGATTTGTCAGGAAGATGACTTCCTAATGTTATCAGACTGGAGGGGGGTCAATCCCAGCATGCAGCACCTTTGGGTTGACCCAAGATTTGTGAGTGAAAGTGGGTAGGTGGAACCCTTGGGCCCATCAATAGCTGTGCTAGCACAAAGTCACAGGTCATCATGGCTGATGGCTTAAGTGTGATGGCCTTGTTTAAACTATTGATCACGCTAGATAACATGCTCTTTCCCAGAAACTGTAATTAAGGTCTGCTCAACATAGTTTCAGTATAAACCACAGGTGGGCTCTGTGGGTGTTGAATAAACACAAATACGCCTGAGCAAGAATCTGTAACAGGGATTGGCTAGCCGCCCTAGTAGACGGGTAATCTCGAATATGATGCAAATAGGCAAAATGCAGATTAATGTACTGAAAAGCATGAAAAGAGAAATATGAATAGTTATAAATTAAAAAAGTTCTTATTAAACAAAGTTATTCACTTACTTAAACTCAAAAAATTCTCCCCAGAAAAGCATCTCAGATTGAATTTTGCTGGAAGTTTTGGCACAGTAAGCATTGTCCAAGAATATTTCACAGAAATATCTGAAAGAGAAAGTCAGGTAATCTGGTTTAAATCTTTCAAGCATTTGTTTGGTTAAAGGCTCTCACACAAACATTCCATAGAGTTTCAGGAAAACAAAAAGAAAAAAAAAATAACAATAACAAAAATTTACAAAGCAAACATGTTTATTTTAATTTGTTGCATTTTTCTGGTCTTTGAGATAAAAAAACAACTACTTCTAATGAAAGTGTAGTATCTGTTCTTGTAGTCAAGTTCGAACATCCTTTTCAAGAAATTAGTTCCAGGAACAACTATAAATATTAAAATTTTATTATTTGCATAGATAAACATCCTCCTCTTTATGTTAAATCCTCTCAAGATCACTTATAATCCTGACTACAATATAAATGCTATATAAATAGTTGTCATATAAGTAAGTATAAAGTACATATGTAAGTACAAAAATATTTGGTAGAAAAACAACAGTGAAGGAGGAAGACCCCAAACTTGCATAAAAAGTAGATTTTATCATCAAAATCTTTGGGACATCAGTAAGAGAAAGATTAGAGAAAAATCTGATATAAAAATTATTTTTGTTTATAAAATTAGAAATATTTGTGAAAAGTGATAGTGTGAAAAGTTATTGACAAATAAACAAAAATTCTGAATTCTATTTTTTTATAAATTCTTTTATTTATTTTTTTTATTTTGAAGCAAATTTACAGATGTCCTTGACATGAAAAGATTTTTATAAATAGATTTATAAAAAAATAAGCAAATCACAATAAGTATATTACACACATATATTAAATAGATTTATATATTGAAATATGATTTATAGCTTTTTTTTTAATTTTATTCTCTCAAAATATTTATCATTCATTTTTTTTTCTCCAAAGTCTAATTCATTCAATTTTTATAAAGTGCAAAATTTTTTTATGTAACCCATCTAATTAAAGATGAATAAAATGTATAAAAAAAAAAAAAAATTACAACCTTCATATTACACATGCTTTTATCTTAGCTTTTGTATAAATTATTTTATTATAAATTATTTATTACAGATTTGTCATTATTTGCTTTTCTTGCAAATAAACGAGAATTACATGTAATTAACGAAATTCCAACTTCATTTAAATTTAGCTTTACTACTACTATTATTATATAACAGCGTTCAATGTTTTTGAATATATATGTTTGCATACAATTTAGAAAAATCTTTTTTGTAATAAAGTGTGAAAACATTCATGGTGGAAGGAAAATAAAGAAAAGTTTAATAAATTTTGCATAAAGTAATTATTTCTGTGAAATGAAGTGAGAGAGAGATTGAAAGACAGCAAGAAAAGAGAGAATGAAGAAAGAGAGAGAGAGTGAGACATTCAAGAGAAAGAGAGAGAGTGAGACATTCAAGAGAAAGAGAGAGAGTGAGACATTCAAGAGAAAGAGAGAGAGTGAGACATTCAAGAGAAAGAGAGAGAGTGAGACATTCAAGAAAAAGAGAGAGAGTGAGACATTCAAGAGAAAGAGAGAGAGTGAGATAAAACAAAAGGTCACTTAAATATTTATCACTTGAACAACTAATTTTACCCTTAAAATAATATAAGCTGTTGTCATGGTAATACAAACATGCATTGAAAATGCTGTTGTCTGCTTCTGTGAGTTAGCATACTCCATATAAACCAAATAAGAAAACCTCATACTTGAATGATCACAGGCAGTTATTACCAGAATATTATGAGACAGAAAAAAAAAAAAAAAAAAAAAAAAAAAAAAATCAATTTTAAAATTACTAAAAATCAATTGCTGGATTTTAATAATTTTTTAATAAGAGACAATTTTTTTAAAAAAAATTTTGGTATTCAATGACTTGATTTTTATTTAGGTTACCTCACGTACTGCTGGAATGGCTAGACAGGAGAGTAATGCCATTTTCAAGGTGCCGATGACACGTGCCGCATGTTGAGGTAAGACCCTTATTTTCCTTTTCATCAGATTCAAGCCACTCTGGCTAACTTACTTCTACAGGACTGTTCAACATTGTGTCAAATTCAATCAAATTACTGCCTAAAAGTACTTCAGTACTAACAATCCTCTCACTTTGTTCATGTTTTTCAGTGATGAACAACTTATTTTCTGTTCCAAATTATAGAAACCAATTTATCAATGGATAACTGATTAAATATTGGATTGACCAAAAAGTTTCTTTACTTTATTAACCCTAGAACACTAACCATCAATTAAAGTTACACCATTACTAACCATGGGTATATCATACCCGATTTTGAAAATATCAAAAAAAAATATTAAATATAAATCTTTATTTGAAATATTTTACATGCAGGCACTTCAAACTATGTAATTTGAGTTAACATTAATAGGAACTGAAAAACATTATTTAGGTAACAAAATCAGGTACTGAAAATTGTAATTAAAAATAGGAAAATTTGCACTGGGTACTATATACCCATGGTTAGTGTTCTAGGGTTAATTTGAAAAGTTACTTAATAAACCAAACTTTTTGGCCAATCCAATGTTTTCATTATTCTTTTTCTTAATGTTGCTTTCTTTTTGCCATTGAATTAGTTTTCAATGAAACTTTCATCCTCTATACTTTTGAGCTCCTTTTTTTCAGAGGGAGGTGACAATATAAATATACAGTTTTGCCTTATCTCGTTATAGACATCTTTCGCTGAATTGGTTTAAGACATTGACCATGAAAGACAAGTTCCTGGTCTTGGATACAATTTCAAATCTCATTAGAAGCTACTTATTTTATCCGATTTCCCATGATAGGTGATATTCAGAGTTGTGATAAAAAGCAACAAAGTCAAGGAAAGACTAATCAAAAATTAATAACAAATTATTGTTTAAAAAAAAATAAAAATTCCCTGAAGGCAGAGACATTCAAGAGAAAAATCAATATGTTTGGTGTGGTGGTGAAGGGTTACAAACAACAACAAAAAAATGCTGACATAATTTAGGACATTGTTTTGCTTATAATCAATGGGTTCAATTAAATATGTGGGTGGAAGCAAAATACAAAAGACACATTAAGAGAAAATCAATTTCAAGCAACAGAAATATGCCACGATGGGCAAGTTCAGTTTAGAAGACGAACAAGGTGAAGGCATATATTATGTTAAAAAAAATATGGTGGAAGACTTGTCAAAACGCCTGCCTGATATTAAATATCAGGAACTTTCCTATGAATGAATTACTGAAAGCAATTCCAAGATAACAAATAATCATGAAAAATACTTTATATGTGTGTGTGTTTGTGTTCACACATATATATATATATATATATATATATATATATATATATATATATATATATATATATATATATACATTTATTCTGGTATGGTTGAATATATGAACAAATGAACTGAGTAGTAAATCTTTGCTTTATGGTGTAAGATTTTAATATATATATATATATATATATATATATATATTGTTGAACAATAAAAATGTTAAAATAAAATCTTAAGACAACAATATTCTTTTGATTTTTTTATTATTTCATTTAGAGTAGTTTCAGCCAATATGGCCATCATCAGGGAGAAAAAAAATCCTCAATGGGATGGAAAATGAAATAAAGTCTGTATAAATATAATATATTCAGACTTTAGAAATCCATTAACCATTTTGTGATCAGACCCATCTTTCAGACCACTTGGAAATTATCATTTTTATATATATATTGAATTATATATATATATATATATATATATATTATATAATAATAAAAATATTAAAAAATTAAAATCTTCAGACACACTGGGTTGTATATTAATAAAATAAAAAACATATTGATTTTTATTATTATTTCATTTAGATTCCTTGACTAGTTTCATACCAATATGGCCATCATCAGGAGAAAAAAATTTTTGTTTTGCTGGTAGCAGTGAACTACAGAAATGAATGTCTTGATGGAGAAAATGAACTTTTGTCTGTCATAAATATAATATATAAATCAGAGACTTTAGAAATCCATTGGTAATAATTTATTTCACGAGATCAGACCCCATCTCTTCAGACCAAACAGTTTTACAATTTATTATCATATTTAACAGTTTATTATTATATTTGCTCTGTTCTTACACTGAGCTCTCTTTGGAATTATCCCTACTAATTATCAAATAATATATATATATATATATATATATATATATATATATGAAGAAATATAGTCTTAAGATGTGCTATATTTATAAAATGTTACGTTGGATAAAGTGCTCGAAATATCAGAGATAGAGTGTGTGTAAATATAAAAGTGAACACAGAAGTCAACACTTAGAGACAACAGTCTGTTTCATGTTAGATGTAATCGTCAGGCCACAGACGATTGCATCTAGCATGAAACAGACTGTCACCTGTATATATATATATATAAATCTCACAAGATAGATCTCTGTGAGTATGTTCATATATATTAATCAAATAAGAATAGGATTAATGGTGTGAATGCAGGTAAAAAAAAAGAAAGTTCATTTGTGACTATGATGTTATTTCCCAGAAACATTAATCATCTAAAAAAGTAAAAGTTAGCTTATGGAATACCTGCTCCATCTTATAATTAACACAAAGGTTAACTCCCACACACCCACAGTCCTATCCCACATGCTGTGAAATATGGCATTCTACAACTATTAGCTTATCAGATCCTAAATCTGTTACAATCAAATGATCTTACAATTTGAGAAATTGAAAGATCATTCAAAAAGAAGAACTTCTCTTGATAAATTCCACTTTTCCTTGACTGCAGAAATATGCGATTGATTTGTCTGGAAAAGATAAGTTCAACTATCATCCAGATCATACTCCTCCCCATTCTTTTGAACAGGAGTAGAAGTTTATCCCTTGTTTCCTGTTTAGGATTAAGTTTCCAGTTCCTTCTAAGTTCTACTTCAACTCTATATTTGTAATGTCTTTACCTAAACTCTGAAATTTATACTATTATTGGATTTCTGTTTTTTTTTGTTTTTTTTTTTTTTTATAAAGTCTTGTTCTTCTCTTTCACTTCCAGTAGCCCCCTTGGTGCCATTGCCTTGTTTTGGGTGGGCTGGAAAAAAAAAAAAGAGAAAGCAGGGGGGATATACAGCTATTTTGAATATCTCAAAAACCAGTAGTGAGGCCTTGATGTAACTAGGCAACAAGTCAGCAAGGACCTTACTGTGTATAATCGAACACAATCTCATAGGTTTAATCAGTTGTGAGATACTATTTAGTGAACTTGTGGACTGTGCAAACATAGAATCCACAATAAGCAAATGTCTTGAAAACTTGAGATCACTGATTTTGAAAATTGGAAGAGATGTGGGATAAGTGTATGAGGTTCCAAGGGAAGTAATTTAAAGTGAACTATTATTTGTTAATATAAAATGGCAATCTTTGTACTGTACAACTTCAAGAGATCAAGACATTTTTATTGGGTTATAATAAGGATTTCATAATTTGATATGTTTATCCAAGAGTTGTTAGCATGAAGTTTTTGACTGATCCTTTTACAAGGTTTATTTTTCTCTAATCTTTGCTAAGCAAAAAACAGTTCACAGCATCTTAATTTATCAAAAAAAAATGAGATAGTGCTTTGATCTGATTGGTCTTTCTGCTACAATTTCACTTCTGTTTGGCACCATCTTTGTTTGACAGTTTCTTTCGTAGACACTACCAACAAGAAACCAAAAAACAGAGAAATATTTTTGGTTTCAATTTCTGCAATGAGGAGTTATATTTACGTTCACATTCAGCCGTAGTGGCTTCCAACGTTCTTCAGATGCTTGTTGATCCAGGTCACCTTCAGGGAATTTTGAACTGAACCCTTTAATCTCTGAGAGTAGATTGTTCTTGTTCCGCTGCCCAGGTCTCTCTAGGGATATCTCATCTTGTTTTTATCTAGCATTGCTCAGTTACTGCTTGCACCATTTTCACTGAGTGTATGTCTGCACTACCCAGCCCAGGGATTGAACTCATATTTACAATGTCACCAAATTCACAAACCAACACTTTAATCTACTAGGCTATTAAAAGTAAATTTTTTGCAATTAATGTCAAAAACAACTAAAATCAAACTGATTGCTGCAGTGATGAGAAATGAAAACTATAGGCAAGAAATACAGATTTTTTTATATTTCTGTAATTAAGCTTGTATTTTCTTCCTGTAGATTTCTTGGATTTGACTAAGTTGTAAATATTAAAAACTTAACAGTCCCAAAAGAAAAAAAACAATGAGGGTGACACCACTCTAATCCATTATGACTTACTGGCAAAGATTAATCCGCTTATACTATAAGAAATAAAAGGCTGGAATAAGTCACATCTGGAAGAGAAATTTGCAAATCCATGAGAGATGGAAAGACTGAATGAACAAAATCAGGTAAGTAATGTTGATCTTCTCTCTATCAGTATTGAGATATCTGCCAATAAAAAGAATGAGAGAGAATTGCAAGATCAAGGTGGGGACTATAAAGAGGGGAAGTGAGCAAAATACATGAAGAGATGGATAAAAAGAGAGAAGTGAAGACATTGGGGAGAGGGTGGTGATGAAGGAGAGTGAGGAATGGTGCAGTGGATGTAGCAGTCAATGAATGAGCAACCAGACAGACAGGGTAGGGGGACAAGGAAAGACAGACAGGGTAGGGGGACAAGGAAAGACAGACAGGGTAGGGGGACAAGGAAAGACAGACAGGGTAGGGGGACAAGGAAAGACAGACAGGGTAGGGGGACAAGGAAAGACAGACAGGGTAGGGGGACAAGGAAAGACAGACAGGTAGGGGACAAGGGGACAAGGAAAGACAGACAGGGTAGGGGGACAAGGAAAGACAGACAGGGTAGGGGGACAAGGAAAGACAGACAGGGTAGGGGGACAAGGAAAGACAGACAGGGTAGGAGGACGAAGTTTGACAGCTGATCTCTGTTGAACTATCTCTAACAGCACAATGGCGGGGAGGGGGAATGGTTTGTACCTTTCAATATATTTAAAAGCAAGCTAGTAACATTTTATTTTATCATCACTGATCAGACTCAGAGTTTTCTCCAGCGATCATGGAACAGTTGCACCTTCCATGAGGCTCCATGCTTTGAATAACGATTGGGAATCTGATTTTAAATTGAATTCGTGTATAAAATTGTCAGCATCTTGTACAGGTCCAGAAAGAACCTGCTATGTTTTATCTTTACCAGAGTCAGATTAGACCAAAAATGAAGTATTGCTGCCATCTCTAGGATGGAACTACCTCATCCTCATATTCCAACCTTGATAAAGTTGGAACTCATTTACAGTCTTGAAAAGAGAGATGTGAATTATTTTTTACTCTGCAACCTCTTTTCCCACAGATGCAATGCTGCAAGCCTATCACAATTTGCATAGCAAATGTTCAGATGAACTCCACAAACCTTTACAGTTAAGATTTGTCATGCTATGTCCACAAAATTGAATCACCCACATTTCCTGAATATTCCATTTGTAAGGAGGAAGTTCTACTCAGACAACTTTTTTTCTTGCATCTCTGTGGATTTATTGCTTTGCTTAGGGTGAAATGATTAAAAAAGAAGATAACAGAAAAAAGAAAGAAAAAGAGAGAGAAGAAAGAAAAAGAAAGAGGAAAAAGAAAGAGGAAAAAAACAAGAAAAAAAAAAAAAAAAACAAGGAAAAAAAAGGAAAAAAACAACAGAAAAAAAAAAAACGTAAAAAAAAAAAAACGAAATAAAAACAAACGGAAATTTAAAAAAAAGGAAAAAAACAAATGAGAAAACAAAAAAAAAAAAAAACAAGGAAAAGAAACCAAGGAAAAGAAAAACCAAGGAAAAAAAAAAAACCAAGGAAAAAAAAAAAAAAAAAAAAGAAAAAAAAAAAAAAAACAAGGAAGAAGAAAACAAGGGAAGAAGAAAACAAGGGAAGAAGAAAACAAGGGAAGAAGAAAACAAGGGAAGAAGAAAACAAGAGAAAATCACAAGAAATAAACAAAAAGAAAGGAAAAAATAGAGAAAAAAACTGCTATTTTGGGGAATATATTCCTGCATGGATGCTTTCCTGCACTTAATCTTAACTTCTTCAAGTCCTAATAATCTTTCCACCCTTCTACTTCCTATTACAATCATATCACACATCTCATTCAGTAATACTCTAATGTTAGTGGCTCTTGAGCTTTGTTTTGGGTATATTTTCTTCTTTTATGTGCTATGTCTCTTCAGAAGGTAGGCAATGTCTCTTCAGAAGGTAGGCAATGTCTCTTGTCAATCTTCAGAAGGTAGGCAATCATGTCTCTTCAGAAGGTAGGCAATCATGTCTCTTCAGAAGGTAGGCAATCATGTCTCTTCAGAAGGTAGGCAATCATGTCTCTTCAGAAGGTAGGCAATCATGTCTCTTCAGAAGGTCTTCAGAAGGTAGGCAATCATGTCTCTTCAGAAGGTAGGCAATCATGTCTCTTCAGAAGGTAGGCAATCATGTCTCTTCAGAAGGTAGGCAATCATGTCTCTTCAGAAGGTAGGCAATCATGTCTCTTCAGAAGGTAGGCAATCATGTCTCTCCACTTCCTCCTATCCCTTGTAGCTCTCAATATATTTTGACCTTTTGCTACTTCTCCCAAACCCTGTTATCATCCATTTGCTTAAGCCCGCTAGGTATATCATGGATTGCTTTCCCTTGTCTCTTTTTCCCCTCTATTCGACCTGTGAGCATCAGTTTATCCAAGCCACCCTTTCTCATTACATGTCCCAGAAATTTAAGATGTTTCTTCCTGATGTTAAGTATATGCTTCCTCCTTGTTTGCATCTTCTCCAAAACCTCATCATTGCTCACACACTTAGTTCATTTTTTTATATATATATATATATATATATATAGATAGATAGATAGATAGATAATATTAGTGGTTAATACACACACACAAGTATAGGATTGGTGTATACGGAATAAATTCCAATAACCAACAATTACTATTCTTAAAAGAGTGCTCAATACATAGTAGAGCAGATACATATACATATATATATATAAAAATTTCCAATAGGATAGGATCCAGGTAGAACTCAATGTCCAGGACAGAGTAAGATGTCCTTCGGTTTTAGTTGCACCCCCCCATCTTCCCCATTTTTTTTCTTTTCTTTTCTCCCTCTCTTTCATCTTCTGAATTTTAAGTTTAGATTATATCGTCTTTTATTGTGCATAGTGTCACCCCAAATGTTTACAGCCGTTTCCAGTGTTGGTTTTTAATTTAATTTAGATCAGCAATTCAGTAATGAATTATGCATCGGAAAATAATTCATATTCATCTGTATCTCACTCATTTAAACCGTCACTTAACTCATCTCTTTAAAACTTCTCTCTGTTAAATTTTAATCCCCACCTTTACTTTTAGGCCTTCCTGTTCTTCTTTCGTCTGTTACCCCTCTCTATAGCTTTCATTTACTTCTCACATTTGTCCCCCACTCTCATACGTACACTATCATTAAATTTTATTTTTTATTCCCGGAGTTATTTTTTTCTGATTTCTTTTTAAATTTGTAGGTCTGATGAATTGGATCGTAATTACAATTCCAATGTAATAAATTATAACCATGGAATAATAGTGTTTAAGCCTTTTATATATATATATATATATATATATATATATATATATATATATATATATATATATATATATATATATAAACAGATCTAAGTCATGTTAGAGCTAAAACTAAAAAAAACACTTACTTTTTCTTTGGTGGTATATTTTAGCTTCCCATACCCATAGTTTGAGAGAATTATCAACTCTTCGGCATTCGTCCATGTTGGGTTGGACGCCTTTTCGTAGGCTGAAAAGAAAGAAAAAAGAACCATGAAATAAGCAAACTAAAATATTGAGTGACACAACTAATTTCAACTCGGAACACATTTCAACTCGGAACACATTTCAACTCAATTTAAAATCAAAGTTATCAATTTCCATGCATTCCTAAACAAAATGCAATGAGCTGGTGTTAATTTTTTTTAGCATTAAAAATCCTTAGATAAGATAATTCAGAATTCATCTTTTATGCAATTTTCATTCTTTTTTTTGTTACAAATAAATAAAGTGGTACTTTTTTCATTTACTTTTATTCATTTAAATCTGATCCAATAAAAATGCAATTTTTTTGTAGCAAGAACAGTAGATTGCTTAGCTGTTGTTTGATTTTTTTTTTTTGTAAAAAACTCATTAAAAAGAAGCCATTATTGATCAAAATTTAAGAAAATCAATAAGTTAAACTTTCAATAAGAGTTCAGAGGTCACTACCAGAAATTAGTTCTGAGTTGAAATTAATTCTGCAGACCAAAATATTAAATGCCATGCATCAAAATTCTTCAAATAAAGAAATAAATCTTCATCAAATTAGAATTTGATCCTTTGTTCTTTCTTTTTATCTGCAAAGCAATTTTTTTTCTTTTTTAATCACCCAATAAACATTTTGCCAGACACTATTATATATTATAATAAACTCAAGCATACGACCCAGAATAAATTAACAGTTTTTTTTTTTTTTCAAATAATTAAATATATTTATTGAAACATTCAACATTTTTGTAGAAATGTTTTTCTTAAATAATTTTATAAACTTTCAATCAATGAGATTCATTTTAATTTTCTTTTTGAGAGGATGGTCTACTTACAAAGATGCATAAAAATAATAATACCTCCCAGTGGTCACATCCACTGTTTGGTTTTCATAAGTGTCATTTAGTATTAATGAAAATCAATGGGTGCAATTTTCTATCACACAGAGGAATTTGATGACACACCTGTTTTATACATGCTTTCATGCCAGACGCCATTTTGCCAGACTACTGCACTCTCCTATTTTTATTAATAAAGCAAAAAAAATATTTGTTTTTGGCAAGGTTTAACCTTTAACACCATGCCATTATGAATTTCTTGTATGAAAGGACATAAAATTATTTAGGAAAACTTTCTTTTTTTCTTCTTAAAAGCAGTCTTGTTTGAAACGAATTCTGAAAAAGACACATAGGTCATAGAAATTTGATTAACAGATCCTAAAGTGATTAGAATTTCAAATCGAACTTTTATTTCATTCACGATGTAGATTGTACTAGTTTCATGTGCTATGCCTCTTCCGGATGTCTCAGTTATTTCCTTTTAACTCAACTCACCAAGTTTTTGGTTCATCACTGCATCCGGAAGAGGCATGGCATATGAAACTAGAACAATCTACCCTAGCGGACGAAATAAAGGGTTCAGTTCGAAATTCCAATCACCTGAAGCAGGCTGCAGTGTACAACGGCGGAAACGTTGTGAATATGGCAATGAAGATGAGGATAACAGTCTGAATAATCATAATACCTCATCTCAGAGATATAGACAGATTCTAAAGTATATTTTTCATCATTCTCACAAAATTTTCCAATATATTAAAGTATATTAGAAATTTCAGTAGAAGCAATAATTTTAGATATATTCTTAAATTTATTTCACTTATATGATGCCTTGCTTCATTCAATGAATGTATCTTCTTATTGCTTGTCCTATACTTTACTTTTAATAACAATAATATGAATAAAAAACTGATTTTCTCTTTTGCCATTTTGTATTTATTTACCATCCTTTAGTCTACACACTATCAAAGAATTTTCCACACACTGAGGAGTGCAATGATATACAAGCAATGTAATAGGTAAGAATTTAACCAAAAAAGGAGAGATAAAAGAGAGAGAAAAAAAAAAGAAGAAAAAAAAGGAAAAAAAAAGAAAAAAAAAAAAAGCAAAAAAAGAAAAGAAAAGAAAAAAAAAAAAAAAAAAAAAAAAAAAGAAAAAAAAAAAAAAAAAAAAAAAAAAAAAGAAAAGAAAAAAAGAAAAAAGAAGAAAAAAAAAAAAAAAAAGAAAAAAGAAAAAAGAAAAAAAGAAAAAAGAAAAAAAGAAAAAAGAAAAAAAGAAAAAAGAAAAAAAAGAAGTTTAATGATGAAGAGTTTCTTGTAAATGTGTAAAAATGTTTGCTTTAAATGTTCTACATATTTTTAAGGAAATAAGAAAAAAAAACAAAATTTAAATTCTGGTTACATCTGATGTTACTTTCACGCTGAAATGAAAAAGCATAAATCTTATCTACATGCTGTCACATGCTTTTGTCATTGGAATACCGAAATGATATATAAACACAAGCAAGGATGGGCAATTCTTTTTTTTTTTTTTGGTACTTGTCTATATCAGCTGAAAATAAGTATTCAGTCTTTTGTCAGCTAAACAGGAAGTTGCAGTTTTAAAAGCAAAATACAACACATAATATATTAAAATATTTAAAATTCAAAAACGTTCATTTAAAATATCTTTATTTAAACCAGGAATTCAAAAAATAAAATTTGAAAATGTATATCTTATTCCTGTTTAAGACAGGATATCCTGAAATTCTAAAATTTCATTTTACATTGAATTTAATTCAGCAAGATTGAATTTCTGAGACATGAATTTGAGAAAAAACAAGATTCTTTTTTTTTTTCTTTCAAGTGCCCAAAAAGAGAATATGGCCTAACCAAAATGGACTACACCAATGACACAATGCTGTTCTGCAGCTCGGATTTAAGAGAAGCACTCTGCATGTTAAAGGAGACGGTCACAAGGCTTTATAGATAAAGTCTTCATTCAATTAATGATGTGGCATTTAGTGTCTAGAAACAACTTTTGATTAAAACGTGTTTACACTATTTACATTATTCGGACTATTGTCCTCATCTTTGTTGCAATATTTAGTCCAACGTTTCATCTGTTGTATGCTCAGGCCTTCGTCAGGTGGTTGGAATGTCGAACTGAACCCTTTATTTTGCTTGCTGGGGTAGACTGTTCTAGTTCCACATGCTGTGCCTAATAGATGTCAGTTATCAGTTATCTCCTGTTAATTCACCTCTCCAAGTTCTCCACTGCCTTAACCAGATATTGAACTCACAACTCTTTGGGTCCTGTCATTGGATCTAACCAACATCTTTATCCACTTAAGGACATATGGCACAGTGGATAAACTATGCATTAACTTGTTGAAGACCAAGCTGATGCATGTGGGGGATAGCCCAGATCCACTGTCCGTCATCATTACCAGCAATACTGTCGAGATTGTCACAACTTTCATATACTTGGGCTCAGAAGTTTGCAACACTGGCGACTGCTTTCCTGGCTGCAGGTATCACTAGATACCTCTGGAGACTACAATGGCAGCAGTGCAATATCTCTCGGTACACCTAGCTACGGTCTTACAAGCTTACTGTGCTACTATACGGTTATGAGATGTGGCCTCTCAGCAAGACCCTTGCTTCCAGCATCCATGGCCATAAGTCATGCGCCCTTAAGACCATCGTGGGCATACACTTGTCTAATCTTGTATCTAATAAGGAATTTCACTGCAGGACTAACCATACAAATATCCTCCACATCAATGCTAAGCATCATTTTCCCTGGCTTGGTCATGTCCCGTTATGACCTGATAACTACCCTGACAAAGTCATCCACCAGTTTGACCCACCATCTGCAAACTGGTGACAACCACATGGTAGACCATGCATCCACTTGAAGGATACCATTCACCAAGACCTTCAACAGATTAACCTGGTGCTGGAGGATGTCCCAACACTCTGCCAAAACTAAGAGAGCTGGACAGACAAGGTGGCTTTCATAGATTCAACACCTTCATGGCATGAGATTTAGCAGCAGTCCAAAAGGGGCTCATATTCAGCACTGGATTTTCAAAGTGAAAAACTGTATCACAAACATTCATAGTTTGAAACAAAGAACATCATGTCAATTCATCTGTACACAACTATCAAAAGTTTTAATAACATACTAATTAAACCATTGCATTCATGTGAAAGATAATTATGATCATTATTTTTATTATGATTTATATATATATATATATATATATATATAAAAACAGAGGATGTCTATGTGTCTGTGTGTGATACCTTTTCACTTGAGATTCATCCAACCAATTTCAACCAAACTTACCACATACATTGTACAATGTAAGAGATTGGTTCTTAGTGTTAAAAAAAAAAAAATTGATAATTTAAAAAAATCAATAATTGATAAAACAGATCAAAAATCAATAAATTCAACTTTATTCCTCAGATTTCATTCAAACTAGGTATGTAGGTTACTTACATCATGACGAACTCAACGATACCTCATTTTTATTTCTACACCACTGTTTAGTGAAAAACAAAAAAAATTGATTTCAACAAATTTTAAACTGAAAACTCCCTCACTTTTCAAGCAATCTAATACAAACTTCACTCAAATGTAGCCAACAATAAGTTGATTGTTTAACAGTCATTTAACTTGATAACTGAGACCACCTATATAGTAAAATCCCACATAAATAGCAAAAAAATGGCAATTTTTACTGGTTTCTTTCTTATTTTTCATTTATATTTCAACCAATTTTTATCAAACTTAACAACTGCTTTATAAATGTATCCTCTTTTACATTTCTGGTAGCACACTGACAAATTGAATTTCAAAAACTCCGAAATAATTGTGGTCTGAAGTGGGTCTTTGTTATACCATAATACCTATTCTATTGTAATGGACTCTCCCACAGATAATAAGTAGTAGTAGCAGTGGACAGTTGGGCTCAGTGGTGTTGAGCGAGTCAGTTGATATTGGACATTGAAGTACCAACCATCACAACTAGATTGCTGCGTCATTAACTCTTATTTCAAGTTACTAACGTTTTGTACATCGAACCTAATTTAGGACGACTTATTGAAATACAAGCCTCCACTGTGAAAACTACTCTACAACAGTCTTCATGTTGCCTGTTTTACTCCTTCATGTCCTCAGCAAACCTCAATTGAATAAATACAGTCTACTTCTATTATATCAAAATGTTTTTTAATGAAAGTACTTTAAAGTAATTGACGAAGATAGACTCGGTTACATGTAAACTTGATGCTGTTTTTGCTCTATTCTAATTGAAGGCTTTTTTCTGATCGACCAGATGGGTATGGATGCTAGTTTAATAATAAAGAGAGGAAGATAATTTATCAAAAATTACAAATTTTTTTCTTGCAAATAACAAGCAGCATAGTCAGTTGTATCAGCCAATGTTCAAATTTCATATTAATCACTTTAAAACTGGCCACTCCTCCAAATTGGTAGTACATGTCTGTGCTTGTAAAATATCTAAAAACACTAAATGATAACTACTGAGTTAATATTCATAAAAATAAAATTTTTACAATTGTACATATGAAGACAAGTAAAAATATTTGCTTCAGGCAGTAGGGAGCATCTTGAAAGCATTTTTAAAAAAAAAAGTTAATGAGGAAGAATATTAAATGAAGGAAATGCTGGATTCTCGGTTGAATGACGAGAGGAATGAATAAAAGCTTCAAGAGAACCAGAAAGTCAGTTTATATTAATGTCAACTCTGTCAACTGGTACGAATCCAGGAAATGAACATCTGATAATTCCAACGAGACATGAGACAAACATGTTTGCTTGTCATTTGTGATAGAGTCAAATTGAAACAAACAATAAAAAGAAATATCAAGAGAGGAAAAAAAATAACTAAGTATAGATTATGCTAATAAATTCAGATTAATTCATAAACAGAAGTGAATCCAAGATAGATATCAACCCTTAGGACAGGTATGGACATATTGATTACACATTCAAACTTGGTAAATTTTAATGACTCATTGAGTGTCGGGAATTAAAATCATTTTTTTTTCTTTTTTCATCAACTTTACCTGACAAAATTAAAGAATCTCTATATTTTTATTACTAGTGAAGGAGCATCAACGTGTCACGTTCCACAATAGTTTTACAATTTATTGCAACTGTTAAAAAAAATATGTAAAGCAAAGTATTTGACAGATACAAAAAGCATATAAAAGTTGCTTACATATCAAATGAAAGCGTTTTTTTTTAATATTGGCAAGCGATATAAAAATATTAAGAAATTTTTATTCTCAGATGTCTAAAAATACATTTGAAAACATTTCAATTTTCTTGCCTATTGTTAGCTTTAGTAAAAGTAAACTACAATATGATTCTGATCATGATTTGGTCAGCACATACGTTTTAGTATCTGTCTATATTTCTGAGATGAGGTATTATATACACTATTTACATTATTTGGGCTATTGTCGTCATCTTTGTTGCCATATTTATCACAACATTTTTAACCCTTCAGTATCTGTCTATATTTCTGAGATGAGGTATTATATACACTATTTACATTATTTGGGCTATTGTCGTCATCTTTGTTGCCATATTTATCACAATGTTTCGGCCCTTCAGTATCTGTCTATATTTCTGAGATGAGGTATTATATACACTATTTACATTATTCAGGCTATTGTCGTCATCTTTGTTGGCATATTTATCACAATGTTTCGGCTGTTGTACACTCCGGCCTTCTTCAGGTCGTTGGAATGTCGAACTGAACCCTTTATTTCGCTCCCTGGGTAATTCCACGTGCCATGTCTAATGGATGTCAGTTATCAGTTATCTCCTGTTAATTCACCTCTCCAAGTTCTCCACTGTGCCATGTGTCCTTAAGGACACATGACACAGTGGATAAAGATGTCGGTTAGATCCAGTGACAGGACCCAAAGAGTTGTGAGTTCAATACCTGATTAAGGCAGTGGAGAACTTGGAGAGGTGAATTAACAGGAGATAACTGATAACTGACATCCATTAGGCACAGCACGTGGAACTAGAACATTATCCCAGCGAGCGAAATAAAGGGTTCAGTCCAACATTCCAACCACCTGAAGAAGGCTAAAGCATACAATGGCCGAAACATTGTGATAAATATGGCAACAAAGATGAAGTCTGAATAATGTAAATAGTGTAAACACGTTTTAATCAAAAGTTGTTTCTAGACACTAAATGCCACATCATTAATTGAATGAAGACTTTATCTATAATGGTGGAAATAGTAATGAATCAATTGGAATTTGACTGAAATGTATGAAAACTTATGAAGACAAATTAATTTTACCTTTCCACCCATCTGTCTTGTTCCTCTTTGTTCTTGCAGGATCCATAGAGTCTTCCCTTGGTTGTTGGGATATGGAAACACTGGTCCTGACCAAGCAGACTGTTGTGGACAGGTCGAATGTCCGAGCTGGAAGTATTAGCCAGTTCTATGTCATGCATCGTCGGCTGGTTGGTCAACAGGGACTCATGGGAACGTGACGTGCGGATTTTGGAGTTGATGATAGATCTGAAAGGAAGAAAAATAAATAAAACCTCAAGTTATATAATTACCTTGAAAAAAAAAAAAAAAAAAAAAAAAAAAAGAAGAAGAAAAAAAGTGGAATGCCAAATCTGGGCACATCAACACATATATGAGACATGTAGTATAAAGACATAAAATAGCTTTTAGTGTCAAACAAAATTTGCATGAATATTTTAAAACAGTAGTAATTAGAAAAAACATAATTTTTATGTAAATCCTGAATGGGAAAAGAGGAGAGTAAATAAAAAGTAAACTTTAAAATTATAGACAAATTTCACATGAAAAAAAAAAAAAAAAAAAAAAAACTTATCCATTTACTTACATCATCCCTGGCTAGACAGAAGCCCCACCCAAATGCATAGAGAAGTTGATGGAAAACTCACACAGGGAAAAATTAGTGTTTGGTAGTGACACCATTTCTCTATTGGTCATAAGACAGCAGTGTTGGCACTAAAATCTCACATTTCACTTTTTTTGTACTTAGAAGTAATCAACTAGGCACAAATATTCAAGTTGATGTCAACAACATCCACAGGAAAAGTGACGCATTAAACATATTGAAAATGTTTTAGAAAAAATAGCATTTTAAATATTGAGTTTTGTGCCAAAGCTTCTACAGAAAAATTGGTTTCAAATGCATGCCTATTTTTTGGTATTTTTTTTAAAAAGTGTGTATGGAATTTTGCATGGATATTTACTGAAAATGCTTTATTTAAATATAAATGCAATATACATAATACTTGATAATAGAATATATACAATATAAATATTTCTATCATAGTATCAAGTGAAGCTTATGACAGTTCCCAGCTTCATGAATGAGAATTTCTTCAAATTTTAATACTGGATATTACACCCTTGTGCAAATCAATTGAAACAAAAATGAATAATTCTATTATTATTTACATTTTTTTTTTATCAATGAAACATAACCCAGTACGTATGTTAGTACTTCGTATGTCCATTCCACAAAGTCTTTCCTTGCAGATTGATCACAGATTCTCAATTGGATTTAAATCAGGAGAATTTCTGGTTCAGTCTTTAGTACTTTGATTTGCTCACTGGTAAGACTTGCCAGTGTGTGTGTGCCGTTAAAATTTTCATATGCTTCCTTGGAGTAACATCTTTTGCAAACAATGGCCTTGGGACAAGTTGGGACAGTCGATACAATAGTATATGGGCATGATGAAAATCTGATGCAACCCCAGATGACACATATTACTGCAAATGACCTAATCTGAGGAGAAAATAGAAACAAATTACATCCAATCACTCCTGTGGGTCTAAAACTGATCGTATAGTGAAAGAAAGGAAACTAAAGCAGTTGTTTCAATTAATCTGCATAAAGGTGTAGGTAGGATCTCAGAAAGTGTTCCCCACCAACTGAGAACTTTTCATATTAGTTGTTTTTACTTCTTTGGGACTGTTATGTAAATTTACAACTCAATAGTCTCAACCAAATTCACATTATAACAAAAATAAGTAACTGATAATTTATGAAAAGATACAAACATTTCTAAGCAAGTAGCCAATTTCTGGGGTTCAAAGCAGAAGGATGCTATTGTCTTGTGTCTGGAATCTTTATAAGTGGCTGAAATGCTTTAACTATTGTCAAAGTATCCAACTTCAAATATAATAAGAATAATTATAATTCAATGTTTATATTGATAAGATAGATCCACCGTAAGGTGAAGGTATCCCCATTAATTTCACCATAAATAATACCAGTTGACTATCATCATAACCCAACCTTATCACTGAAAATAAACTAATATCAAAATGGTCAAATAAAACACTATAAATATAAAATAGCCACTATTGTTATAATTGTTAAAATATTTGCATCATATTTTCTAGCAAAACAAATGCAGCATTATTAATATGTTGGTTTTTATACAGTTAAGTAGAGATTAGACTGGTGTACATAAGATTACTAATTGGCAAAATTAAAATTAACTTCAAGATAAGAGCAGTAAGAGCAAGCTTGATAATTTTAGGGGTTTAATCCACAAGTTTACCTTGCAGAAATGTATACCTGCATACATATTTTCAAAAGAAGGTGTGAAAATATATTATATATATATATATATATAGCTACATATATTTGATTGATGTCAGTGAATGCATTATAGGAAATTTTATATATATATATATATATATATATATAGCTACATATATTTGATTGATGTCAGTGAATGCATTATTGAAATTATATATATATATATATATATATATATATATATATATATAAAGTGAACTTTAAAGTCAACAAGAGGTGACAGGCTGCTTCATGCTAGATGCAATCGTCAACCTGTTGATTGTGTCTAGCATGAAACAGTCTGTCTCTGCTGAGTGTTGACTTCAATGTTCACTTTTATATTTACATACACCCTATCTCTGATATTGAGCACTTTATTCCATAAATATAGCACACCTTAAGACTATATTTCTTCATACATACATATATATATATATATATATATATATATTCAGTCATACAAACTGATATATATATATATATATATATATATAAAAACACAAACATGCACATCATCAGTTTTATGTATACACAGACAATTTAACGTTATGAAAGCTGACAAAGTTGGAGAGAAAGTAATTTTTATCGTCAGTTAAGATAGATATGGGAGAGTGATTTGTTCAACAGCTCAGTCAACCTCCATTTTCCATCAACCATTGTGCTATATCAGTGATAAAGCATAGGACAGAGTACAAGGATTGATGGATTCATGCCTTTCCTAAATGCATTAAGATGAATACATGCAGTCTGAATCTGAAGTTAGCTTTATCAAGTCTCTCTACTTAACACTTCACATACAAATGCATTCTCTACCATATCTCAATAGTTGCCCCCTAACCAACCCTCATGTATACAACCTCTCCTTCATCAGATATGCATCCTGACTTTTTAATCCTGTGGTGTTAATTTCTTAACTAGCCTAGATTTATGTAAGCAGACTTTAATTTCACTAATTGCAATTGCATGATTCAATGCTTTGGTGAACGCTGGCAATTAGAGCTGCAAAAATGCATCAACAAGTTATAAATCGTTTACAGATTCATTACGGATTCATTTTATGTGCAAACTATGCAGATTTATTTTAAATGTGTTTATGATTATGTTTGCAAATGATGTTTTAATAGATAAGTTGAGGGATTGATTTAAGTCAAATTCACAAAGGGTGCCAAAGTTTTATGAAATAGCAAAAATATTTTCATTACTCCATACATTATTTTGATGGGTATAGACATCTTGGTTATTTTAATCATGTATCACATTTTTTTACTACCCTAGAATCTTCTGAAATCTTGAGATGAAGTCATTTTATCAGACATATTTTTTTTTCCCCAACCAGTATCCCCACCTCCACAAAAAAAAAAAATCTTCCAAAGATGCAGCATCTACCAGACAAAGGCTGGAGAACATATCTGATGAAATGTTGGGATAGAAATAATAAAAATGAAGATTCTGGTTTTGAATAACATGCTGAGTGACATTTAAAGACCATTGGATACCAGATACACCCAAGGATGGTTGAGAAACATATTGGCTAAAACACTATTAAAAACAACAAAGATTAGGATATTAGTTTCAAGAATGCATGGAATAATAGTGTTATATACCATACCTATGAACACTAATTGGTATGTCTCAATCCTTATAAATACATTGGACACTATTGTAAGTGGGAGTAATGTGCTGCCTGAGTAGTTCACCACTAGCAGTGGTTTACCTACTTCACGTCACTGGCGAGTATTGCATTTTGTTGATGTTATAAAGATTACCATTTCATTTCCAACCTTCATTTTGGTTATTCCTCATTCAGTAACCCTTTCTTGGTTACAACAAATAACTCAAAGTCACCAACTGCAACATAAATGCAATCATATTACAAAGTTGTTTGTTATTAGACCGGTAAAATAATATTTTGATTGAAGTTTGACAAAATTCATAGAATTGATGAAAAACTTTTGTTCAGTGTTTAGGTTAAGAATTTTGCATCTTTTCACAAAGAAAAGATTTTTTATTTCAATTAATTACTTACATGTTCTCAATACCTGTCACCAAGAAGGACTTTTACTTATTTTACACTAGCAACAATTTTTTTTTTTCCTAAAAGCAAAAAATATAAGCAACAATCTACCTCGCCATTATGTAACACACAATGACATGTACTTCAAGATATCATTACAGACAATATTGGATGTTGGAATTTAAGAAAATATTCCTATTGTTTTTAAATTTTTTTTTTTTAGTCATTCTTCATTTTGATAGGAGTAGTAGCATACTAGCGTGAAATTGGGGCAGGGTCATCCTAATAAACACTGGACATCTGACCGGTTTATTTTGCCGACAACTCAAGCTGCAAACCATCTTTGTTTAAAAGAATTTCTTTCTTTTTTCTCACAGCCAAACACTACAAATCTGTAAAATGTATTTTTACATGAGTCCAAAAAGTCATGAAAACCGTCTATAATAATGTGTGTGTTTCACAGGTAAACAGTTACATGGAATTGAATTTCAGAATATCTGTCTTTACTAAAAATATTTACAATAGTTTATTTGATGCTACCAGATTTTATTCTGCAACTTGAAGGTTGTTCATCATATTGTGTGTATATATATATATATATATATATATATATATATATATATAGTTTATGCAAATTTAGGTAATCCATATGGGTAGACCTGAGGAGGATGATATCCAGAGAGCTCAATGTAAAATTCAGAGCATATATGTTTGAATAAAAAACAGACCACGTTAAGATTCCATGTAATAAGCTATTTCACCATAACCCCTTTAACAGGGTTCTGGATCATCAGACTTTACTTCCAAGATGAAGAAATATAGTCTTAAGATGTGCTGTATTTATGGGATAAGGTGCTCAATATCAGAGATAGAGCATGTGTAAATATAAAAGTGAACATAGAAGTCAACACTTAGAGGCGACAGTCTGTTTCAGGTTATATGCAATATGTGGCCTGATGATTCCATATAGCATAAAACAGACTGTCTATTCTAAGATAATTTGACAACTTATTAGCGATATATATATATATATATATATATATATATATATATATATATATAATTGACTCTCCCGTCAAGA